CCTTCTTGCCCTTCCGGCCTTTCCTGCCGTCTGTGCTCTCATTCGACCGGGAAGTACGGCTCACGGACCTGGAAATCTTGTCCTCTGACTGCTGCTGAGGCTGTGCTGGTGCCGCTTCATTCTCACGAGTTGTCTTGTTGCTCTCTTCCGTTGCTGGCGCAATAACGGACAAGGACTCGGCATTCTGCTTCAATTGTTCGGCAGGGGATTGGGTGGTCTTGCCGGCTTCGGAGGTCTCGGTGACCTCGGCGTCAATGGGGGTTGCTGACGGTACTGCAGTGGCTGATGACACATCGTCCTTGGTGCTCGGCTGATTAGCAGCCTGGCCCTTCGCGGCTTGTGCGTAGGAAAACGTTGTGCCCGACATTTTGTTTTGGGTAGTGCGGGCGTTAAGCAAGTTGCAAGACGATAGGTTGATCGAGGAGAAGCTCGGTCGGTCGTGCAGACTTGGTCTAGGTCGCCTCGGCTAAACTGCTCACGAAGGCCGCCGGTGATGATCGGATGTCCGGAGAAGAGCGAGAATTACCTCTCCTCTCTGACAATCTGCTGACGGCACTAAGGCCTTTGACGATCTTGAGTGACGACTCGATGTCGGGTACTGCGGGGCAGACTGTTGCTGCAGCTGGACTCGGTTGCACGGTTTTGTCTCGGTCGAAGTCTGAGAGAACGTAGACGTTGCCGAAACAAGGAGCACGATCTTTGGAGAAGGTGTTTGGTGACTCGACAGCAAATATTCTTGCCGATGCGCACGGGTACACCTTCGGGAAAGATCTCGCTTGCGGGGCGTCCAACAGGTGTCAGAACTGTCTGGGCCTCGAGAAGATGAATCGAAGGTGCAGACTGTTGTCGATGACGACCAAGGATGCAGACGAAGGCGAATCAACCAGGAGGGGGAGGAGAGCGGAAGAGAGCGGAGGAGAGCAGATGATGGCACGCCTGGCGTCGAATGCGTAAAGTAAATGCCTGGAGTCCTGCGGGTGTCCAATGACCAGTTGCTGGGTCCACAGAGAGGTCGAGATCTAACCCTAAAGATGGCAGCCTCGGGATGCAGTCTGTAGGTAAAGTGGTAAGAAATGGGGTTGGGTTGCGCGGGTGGGGAGAGGGTTGGTTAAGGAAAAAAAAAAAAAAAAAAAAAGGGAAGAAAAAAAAAGTTATTGGAGGGGACAGTGGTCCTTCCCAAATTGGATCGGATCCAGCAACTGAGATTTGTGTGTGGAATAAATTTTTCTTCGTTCCTGGGTCAAGTTCTGCAGCAGTAGTGGGGATGGACAAGGAAGGTCCGCCGCGTGTCCGTACCTCTACCGTTAACCCACAAGCAGGAATGCTGCGATTGAGGTGCCAATCTATCCACTCACGTTGTCGTGCGAATCCTAATTGATTAGGCGGTTTTCGATTATCGAGTGTGATGCCTGAACAAGAACGAGGTGAGTCTGATTCATGCCTGCCCGGTGCTTGCCCTGTACAAAATAACAGACGGGAGGGTTTGTGCGGGGAGGGGAAGGGACGGGACGGAGGGGAATTGGAGGGGAGGCGTTCAGGTTGCCACGGTTAACGCAGGCCCGTGTATCAGCCACCGGCAACAACTGAAGCGATGTGAGCCACCCAAGCACGGGGCAGCCGCACTGTAGAGGGGCATCTAGGTTCTTAGCATGGAACGAAGTGTGAAGGGCCCAGGGCTCTCCGCCTTCGATCAAACTTTTATTCCAAACTTCCAGGTTCCTTTTTCGAGTCATTGACGCTGGTCGAGATTCGATGAGCCACATCAATGGACATATCGCCGCAGTTGGACCCCCGAATAGGTGACGCTTGTCTCGCGCAGTATGTACAATATTCAATCCTGAGTAGTCGCGTGGTGGACACAAATGAGTACCTTTTTGAGGCTGACGAGTTAAGCACTCAACTTCTAACAAGACCCGAGTCCAAAGGCCCGTAAGATCGACCCTCTGCTTGTGCTATGCGAACTAGCGAGTCTACTTTGAGCAGGTAGCGGTTTCGATCACCGCAGTTTCTAGTACTTTGTGCAAAAACGTGCACGAATCGCTCGCGGGCGGTTGCAAACGCAACACTTCCCGTCCCCTGGCCGCTGCTTTTGCTGATCAGATCGCTGCCGAAGTTTAGGGCACCAAGAGCCCCTCGTTTCAGCTCCATTGTCGCCGAAGGGCCTCGACCTTGATGAAGGGAAACCTGGCTGAACCGGGCGGATGGCACCTAGTGTCCTTGCATCAACGCCTTCACAAACGCAACGTACCGACAGCTGGAAGTGAAGAAAGGAGTGTTCGGCTGACAGTTTAGGTGCGTTGATGTCAACTGATAGAGTAGAGCTGCTGGTCACTTCACATATCCTGATAGCCCCTAAAGTCCTCGAACGGGTGGTGCTTCCAAATCGACAGTAGATTTTGGTAAGCCATATACACCATGTACCATCTCCATGGTCACGCCAAGTGGGTGAGTAAAGCTCGCCATTCTGTCAACATCCGTCCATCTCACATGTAAGCATGGGACATGTACCCAAAATCTCCGCTTGTAACATGTCGATAGCATTTCAGAGCTTGGTGCGACATGGCTCCTTCTGGTCGAGGATCCGAAATTCATTAGAAAACAAATACAAACAGACAAAACTAAGTAAAGCGGCTGACCAAGAACATGTCAAGATCTTCAGCATGTGATTATGGTAGGGGACAAAACAAACACCTACCGCAGCTGGATGACTCGCGGGACCTCTTGCAAAAGTAAACCAGACAACTGATATAGAAAACACCGGAGTTCTGATGTATGATATGACCTGAACATGCCATATGGAACTCCGCTATGGTTTGCTTCCATGCGGTGGTAAAGCGGTCTGGGAATTCGGAAGCACAGCGGGATGTCGGATCTTCCAAGATTGGGAGGTGGGTTAGGGTTCTATTGTCCGTGCCGCCGCCACCGGCCCCCTCCCCAACTGCCCACTCTCGACCAAAGATCAGCATTACGGGCATTCGACGTCGCTATATATAGTTTTAGGAACCATAAATAGGCACAACATACGGACCGGTGAAGGTTACCTCATTTCGAGACGAATTTACCTCCGATTTGAGCACAAAGTGATTGGCATCGTAATACGAGTTCAGAGTGGTCCGTACAATGATGTTACCCCATATTATGAAAGAGGTGATAGAATGATTGATATCTGGTCTTGTTGTTTGATATTTTCAAGGAGCCTATTTCGGCGCCAGAGACGGAGTTTTCTATGTACATAGGTATTTGGTGTGACACGTGCGGGTGCCCCGAACATGGAAAGCGGAGCGGGTGGAGCCGGCGAGGACAAAAGCGAGGAAAACCCGATAGAAGCAACAACAATTTCCAATTCCCGACGACCCCCGACCGCCCCCCGGTCCTTTTCCTATTCGCTTTCGGAGCTTGCCCTGCTGGGTGTGTTGCCCGCAAACTTGTCGATGATGTCCGTACTCCATGACGAAGGTAACTCGAACATTTGATTCTTTACCCAAGACATATTGCCGCCCTGTTTGCAAGCCGCATAACTCTGCTATTGGATCTATAGTTAAAATACATAGTCGCTGACTGGATTCCCTTCTTCCCCCGGACTCCACGTGGATCCAATGACGGGTGTGCGACCCGACCCCGGCCCCCGCATGGAACCCCCGCCCCGCCCCGCCCCGCCCCGCTCAGCTCGCTTCTTCATCGCCCTGCCAGCCAGGACAGCAGTCTCGCCATAACGCCTTGCTACACTAGTATTGTGTATATTCCAGTTTGCTTGTCGCCGCGCCGTGGTGCCGCGTCTTGTTGACCGCCCCAAGTCTGTTTCAACTCAAGTCTCTGGACCATGGAGAGCGAGAAATCATTGTCGGGTCAGCATGGGACAGTGTGTATGTGCACATGTGCATGTACTATGTAATAAGATGCCATGTGCACCACACCTACGCGAAGCGATTGGCCGAAAGGGGAGCAGAAGGGACGAGGAGGGACTGGAAAAATGCGATCAGATCGGATTAGTTGGACCGGATTGGATGGGATGTCGGAGTATGTAGTATAGTGTACTGCGCAGTAGATCAGATCTGCCAGATTCGTCATGGACTGCGTAGTGTACATAGTGTACCCAAGGAGCCAAGGAACGTCCATTGGCGGCAACGGTGGGACCCGGTGAACTGGAGACTGACTGGATGGGGAGATCATCGTTCGGTCATTCGCTGAGAGGGCATGTCGGCGGAACAACGTCCGTCTACCTGCGTCCTAGGTAAAGGTAATTTGTTAAGTGGTGAGCGGAGCAGGGAATTACTTGGGCGCAATGGTTCGCATCAACCTTGACGAGAACGTGGATGGCATAAAACCTGCAACGGAGCATATTAACAACTTGAAACGTGTGAGCTCATGAGGGCACTGAGACTGTGGCTCGGATTTAACCATTTTCCCGAATGCACTTGGTTCGCGGGGAGGGTGCAAATAATCGTAGATCCAATGCCCCCATTTCTGCGACATCCTCAACTAGGGGCCGCGATCATCTTTGGAAATCTTCAACCACTCGCCGGGGAATAACAACCAGTACGGTGTGTTTTTCCGAGATTGAAATGAAGTGTTGCTGTTGGAACAAGTTCTTATGGATACCCGAAACGTTTGACAGGTGTTTTCGGTACATGGTCATTGGCTGTCGTGTCAAATATTGCTAGGCCTGGAACAGACACCGAACCCGATACATTATGGCAAAGCTTTGTTCTACGTGCGTTTATGGAGTCGTTCATCGGTTTGGCCGCTGGGGTCGCTTTCTGGCTTGATTTTAGGTTGCTCATCTGCGCCGTGTCGCAATAGTTGGGATAGGGTCGAGGAAGGGCGTATACCAACAATGGGCGAAAATGATAAAGAGTATGGTAGAATATGTGCTGGTAGCATCAATAGTTGTCGAGTAAGATTGTTTGGCGCGACGCTGGCTTTTTCTTTGTTCATCAGATAGAGTCCTTTAGCATCTGGTTGTTGTCCATACAGGTCGAGATTCGATCAGACTCGTGGTTCTATTGGGCCATGGTCTCTTGGTGTGTTCTTGCGTCGCTCTTTCGAGTATGGACAGAACTGCTGCATACAGTTGGTTGACGAAAATACTGTCTTGTACCGTCTACATGGCCTTCTTTGGCCTCCTTGTTCAAGATTTTAATGATGAGGAGCTGCTGCATCGGCGAAAGAGCTAGTGGGTAGCCTAGTGTTGTTGTCAGATAATTTGATGGAGGTACATCCCCCCATTGAGCGTCACGGGTTGAGAGTGAAACGCACGCTTCGTTTGTTTCGAGGAAAAATCGACATTCGAAAGGCTTTGCCGCGCCGAGAACTGAAGACGGACTTGTCGTCGTCCATCGGAGCGGGATGTGGGTCTGCGTTGGCTAATTGTTCGGATCTACCTGTACGTCAAGCGACTGGTCACATGAGGCAGTGTCTCTACCGCAACGGTGTAGAAGCATTCCATTGAAGAAAACGTACCTTGAAATGTCTGCATGTGCACCGCCGTTTTGCATCACCGCAAGCAGATTCAGGGTCTTCGGCCGCAGTTCGGGTAACACCGTAACCCTTGACTGCCCTGCAGAAGGAGATAGTCTGTGCCTGTAGACAATGCCAATCACAAGTATTGACCCACAAGTAGTATAATCCCACAACATACTTCTGCCCTCAAAGGCTTGTCGGATATCCTGCATGCGCATGCTCATGGCGAAACGATGATCCCTTATGGGATGTTTGGGTCGGAGGACCGGGGGGGGGGGGGGGACAGTACATGACAAGGGTTGGACGCCACTTCAGCAAGCAGGAACCAGGAACCGAGACACCGGTGCGCGGATCCACAAATAGGGCTGACCAATGACATATTATACAATCGCCAAGTTCAACCTCACGGCATATAAATGCAGATTCTCAGATAAAACTCCAAAGCAATGAAAGTGGTGGTTGCTCCCAAACCCCCTTCATTGGCGACCGCGATGGCTTCATACGACCGTTCAGGCAAGATCCTCCAGAGGCACCCCCATCTCCACTGATGCAAGGCCCAGACCACCTTCTATAAGAGTCGTTAAACATCTCTGCTACAGGTACCACCTACCTACCTCTAGCGATACCTCTAATCATTTCAGGCCCTTGGACTTCCCCGCTGAAGCTTTATTCGCGCCTACCTCTCGCTACTTCACTTGCCCTAGGGGTCACTTGCCTCCTGTATTTCCTTCTCTCTTCAGGTGCCTAGTTGCCTGTACACTCCCCCGCAGACCCTCGGGCAGATTCGAAACACCCCCTGACACGCTCCGGACAAAGAGTGCCCGCGTCCACCAGTAAGGCGCGCCTTCCCAAAACGTGTCCACCAATAGCCAATAGGGCGCGCCTTCCCAAATCGGCTGTTTTTTTTGTAGGGCTGAGCCTGTGACTAAAGCAAATCTCGCGCTCGCCCCGGGCCTCTCTCGTTCTTCTCCTCTTTCCTCTTCTTCAACGATCGCAACCAAAGCTTTCAACAACATCAACAACAACATTCTGTCTTCATTTTCTGCAAACTGCAACAACGCTTTTCATCTCATCAATCACTCAGCAATCACCATCAACAAAATGCAACAACCAAGATCGAACGAGTTGTCCCCCATTGGAGCCTTCCTCATGAGGATCCTTTGGCTGCTCTTCACATCGGCCGCCAACTGCCTCCAGCTTCTCGACGCCACCTTGTGGCCGGCTTGGAAGGCATCGGTCATGTGGCTGGACCACCACACCATCGGTACAATCATCAGCATTGTCGACGCCGTCACAGGCACACACTCACTTTCGACAATCACGCCGTTCGGTATGCTGGCCAGACTCGCCGCATCTCTGCTGTACAAAATCATCGACTGGTTCCCCGAGGTTCCATCGTTCCCTGAGCAGAGGTGTGGTTCCAACTATCGCAGTTGTTCGACTCAGACAACAACGGACGATCCCAACATCTCAGCCATGCTGGAGTTCTTCGGTTCTGGTCTCGACTACCTCACCGAGTTCTTCGCCACTGGTCTGAAGTCCGTTGTGTCACCCTTCGACGGCAACACTCCCAAGTCCTCGACTTCCTCTCTCGTCGCTGTCCCGCGCACCCCTGTGAGACAGCAAAGCTCGCTCGCCAACAAGACCAAGAGCACGAGTCCCTCGTTTTACGGTTCCGACGATGACGCGGCCTAGAGCCCTGCTGATTCCAAAGGTCCCGATCTCGACAACTTTTCCGTCTGTTCATCGTTCCATCCATCGGGCGAAGAAGACTGGTTATCAGATCACTCTTTCTTCGACAGCCCAATTCCAGCTGTCAAGAAGGAGCAGAAAGCGCGCGTCGCAAGGCGCGGATCTGGTTCGGACTCGGACACCTCCACGCTTTCGGAGAGAGAGAGGCGTCAGCAATGGCGCAGGGCAAATGATGAGCGTGTGCGAGAGTACGCGGCGAATCGTCTTGCTCAGGAGGAGAGGCAACGTCAGGCTCGGGTCGCTTTGGAGGCCCACTGGCGTCGTCAAGAAGAAGCTCGAAAGGCTCCTCGGGGCCCTAGAGTTATCCGGGACCCTATTTCGGGCCGGGTCTACACGAACTAGCCAACTAGTGTAGTCTTCTGCGGGGAGTGTAACATGATCGCGCACACCGGGTGCAGATTGTGTGCGCTATGAAGGGGTAAGAGTGCGGAGGAGAGTACCTGGCGATTATCTGAGGCGCAAGGAGTGAGTTCTTCCAAACCCCCAATCTGGTTGTAACAAATTACTAACAGTCTTTCAGCTCAGTGGAGGACAACAGATTCACACGACGGACCGCATCGGAGGAGTTGGGGGCGGGGTGGAGGACTTACACTGTGAGGCGCGAAGCCGGGAAGCACGATCGGACCGCATCGGAGGAGTTGGGGGGCGGGGCGGAGGACTTACACCGTGAGGCGCGAAGCCGGGAAGCACGATCAAGCGATCGACAAGACATCCAGGCAAGTACATTGACTTTCTTAGAAGAAAAAAACAAAAAACAGAAAAAAAAAAAAAGAACATGTAGACTTAATAGACTGGAGATGGAGTTGGGGGTGTTGGGAGTTGGGGGCGTTGGGAGTTGGGGGCGTTGGGAGTTGGTGGCGTTTGGAGTTTTGGCGTACTAATCTAGCTGGGTTGTGAGTCGCGAAGTCGCGCTCAATTTTCCCTCCCGATCACAAGTGTGGGGTAAAAAGGGTAGTGAAGTCGGACGTCTATGCCTCCACGTGGCACTACCTGGAAACCTAGGTAGCTTTGCTGCCTAGGGCCAAATAGACGACGCATCGCGAGACTTGATGGGCGGGGGAGGGGAGCTGGGGAGAATGTCATTTTGGAAGGAATGGAGGATGGATGGGTGTCTGGGAGTCGGGGAACTTGGGCGTTGTGCGGTGGGATTTGGCTTGGTAGAATGATAGATAGTGCAGACGAATAGAATGGCTCTTCTCACATTATTTTCCCCCTGCCTGCATGCAAACCGTGCCTTGGCTATGACAACTGACAACAGGGTGATGTGGGCATCATGGAAGGGGTAGTGAGACAATGAGACAGATATGGCACGGGATATCTATCTCTATGGCGGCTGCAAGATATTGACAGCAGTAGCAGCAGGCTTGTTACAAGTGCTTGTCAAATTATCGTCCATCCTTGATGAAGTCTCCACGTCCGGGCGAGGGCGGTGAACTTGGTTCGGTGATGGACATGGACATAATAGGCATGGGATGGCCGTCCGCTGCGTCGTAGATCGTGTTAACCAAGTTCGCTCCAGCCTCCACAGGTTTATCTTGCGGTTGTGGTGCCAATGACTGTGAGTGTGTGGGTGTGGATGTGAAGATAGCTTCCAGTCAGATGGGATATCGCTCATCAAGTTCTGCTCGAGGTTCCCACTCGGTTGGTTTGGTTCGGTGCCATCAAGCACAGTTCCCATGACGAGAGATCGCCAGCGTAAGTAGAGTACGTTCCACTTGGATTCGGGTTGCCTTGCCCTTAAGCCGTCCGTCACCATGCTGAGCAACTCCAACGGACTCGAGAGCATGGAATGTCAAGTGACTCGAGGTGATGACCTGTGACGGGATGCATGAACTGGTCTGAGGAGAAGCAGGCTTGTTGGAAGTATGCGTGCTGCAGTGGCGTTGGAACAAGTCATGGTATTGTGAATAACAACCGCGAGTCTTTCTGATGAGAATGACTTGTATTATTTACGGCACTATCCATAACCCATACTTGACAAAGCCTGCTTTCAAGTATACACGCAATCCGAAAGACGCATTGTCGGAGCACAGACGTGTCAAAGATGCCCTGCAGCAGACAAGCGCACTGCCAAGCGGCCTACCACAAGCGTACACCCATCTCAAACCATCCATTTGTTCACCCAGACATCCAGGCGGCGGCTCTGCGGGCCCCGAAGGAGGTCGCAACGCGAAGACCATCCGCCCCCATAGGGAAGTAGCTGACTAGGTACCAGATCAGAGCCGCCATCTGGACGAGGGCGGAGAGAAGGGTGAGGATGGTGCTGTGTAGCTATTTCCTATCATGTTAGTCAACTATGATACGCCAGACAAGGGCTAGAGCGAACTCACGCTAAGAGCAAAGTACATGGTCAGGATCAAGGAGCCAAAGTATGCCGATGTAAAAGGCAACCTTGTACCAGAGGTCAGGTGCTTCAAGTACGCCCAAGGTCCCATCATAGCCGCAAAGGACGTGATGAAGAGTATCGAGCCGAGGGTCCACCTATGGGTCAGGGACCGCATGCGTTAGCAAGACATCCATAGTTGACTATCCGATCTGCCCCTTAGAATGTCGATGATACCAACAAGTCATCCAAGCGCCGGATGATCGGCCTCGTAGAGTCATCGGGCCGCCAACATGGCTAGACTATCATGCGAATATTGTGCATATGCACCATCAAACAGATATAGCGGCGGGTTCCAGTGCATAATGATGAGCCAAGTTAAGAAATGGGGGAGGGGGGGAAGTTCCCGAGAGAGGGAGTAAGGGCTGGGCTTGGGAAAGCAACTTGGGTGGTGGATGGAGGGAAGGGGGAAGGTTGTGAATAACAAGGAGGCGCTCACAGGATTACGAGCTTGCGCGGCTTTAGTGACAACACTGGGAACAAGGCGAAGGCCAGGACGAAGCAAGCCAGCGCGCCCAGATTGCAAGCAGCGAAAATCAGCATGCGGTCCCACCGGCTCACTGTAGAGTACTCGTTAGCTGTGCTGTAGTGTCCATGATCTCCAAAGAGGACGTGAATATAAAGGAGGATGAAACCGCTATACCCTCCCCTCCCCCCCACCATCTACATGCTCAGCAACCTGGTGACTAAGACACGGAAACGCAAAAGCGGCACATGTCCTGCACCGCGAATCCCCTCTGCAGGGGTACGAAGGGCAAATGCTGCAAAGCACAGCAGGCAACATGGGAAGACGAGCAACTGAAGCAAGCACCAGGGGAGTTGACTCACAAACAAACCAGCCTTCTTCCTCTTCTCGACGGGTAGGGGCTGGAAGAGCAGCACCGGGGCCTTCAGTCGTTGGTAGTTGAACATAGCCACCATTGCCGAAGGGGTTGAGAGACTTGATGGATGATAGTAGACCGCGCTGTTGGGACGTGTTGACAGGAATGTCCGCTTCTCGGCGGGACCATCCTAGAGAGCTCAGCGAGTCTCGGAAAGACGCCGAAGCCATGATGGAGAGACGGGGATGTCTAGGGTCGGGTGTCGGGAGTATGAGACCGTGGGGGTGGAGCCTTGGTGAAATGGGAGAGTTCCGGTCTCGTTTCCTTCAGGACCACAAACTGGCCAGTACTTTGGAACTATGTAAAGATGGAGTGTCCAGTGACCGTCTCTATGAGGACGATTACGGACAAACAAGGCCGGAGCTGACTTGTGATAGATCGGATGGAGAAGGGGTGTGTAGATGGTCGAGCAAGCGGTGTTATTGGGTAGCGGTGCCGGAGTGGGTGGTGCGGTAAGGTGAGATACGCTCGCAGCGGGTAGGGCGACTGACGGCAGAAGCGACCACAGACTGTATCCGAAGAGGGAGAATTAGTCTTGAATGTTTGATATCAGGGAAGAGGCAATCATGCGACCACCAGACGGCCAGAGGTCGACAGGAATAAGACCCACGTTTGGTGTTCAGATGATACCGCAGTCAAGTACGCGACAAGCTCGGGAGGCTATCGGCTGCAAAAATAGCAGGTTTTGGCGATCTAGTTCAAGCCCCTGTCTTCCAATTGTTGGAAACGCTTGGGGGTCGTCTGGGGAGAGAGAGTTCCGTGTTTGTCGCCGCCTTCCGACGCGGTGTGCGTGTTCAACAGTGTCGTTACGTAGGGATGCCTGGCACACGATATCGGCAACTCGGGTATCTGGGATAGCTGGGTGGCCGACTAGTGTGCGTGGTTATGTGAAGGTGCAAATGATAGAGCCTAGATACCTACTAGACTAGTACACACATAGGTTGATCGCGTTAGGGTGATGGATGGGGTACGCAGCTCAGATGCGCGTGTTGGGGCGTGTCGCACTGGTAGTGACAGCTGGAGGTTGCTGCCCTGCCCTGCACACAACAACCGAGTGAGGTTCATGGGTTGCTCGGAGTTGAATGACTGAAGCTTCCTGGCTCTAGCCACCTTACACTACACTAGGTACACTGAGTGGCCAGCTCGGCCAGCTAGCGGCGGCAGTGAGGTGGGAATGCAACGGCCTGATCGGACGCAACCACAGGCTTTGCCGTCTGTCATCTGATTGGCCAGTCTATACCATCCTTGGTCCACAAGGTGATCACGGACCCAGCTCGCAGGGTGGCATCCAAAGCGACGTGGGGAGGCATCCACTCACCTCACGCCGGGCGCCCTCTGGCATCCTCTCCAAAACTGAACCCATTCGTTTAGAGGGGCTGTCAGTCAGTCCTCCGCCATGAGGGGAAACAGTCCTACAGCTGAGGGGCAGCCATTGTCGAATGTTGCACAACTACTACTATGTAGCTCCAGAGAGACAACCCTCAACAGACGACGCGGCGAGGAATGACTTCCGATGTGCTTTGCGGCAATCAACCGTACTCGATAAACGGCAAAGGAACGGAAGCATGGAAATTATATGAATAGCATGGGGCGTCTCCTTGACGGTCTTGTCCTTCAACGTCAGCAATGGTGCGGGGTCCATGGGCCTCTGAGGACCACAGTACGTATGTGCAGCTTCACCAACACGCCTCGCTTGCGTAGCGCGGGGTCTTACTACGGAACCTGGAGAATCAGACAGGGTAGGCTCTAATCCCGATAGCGACGAGGGCTCAACGTCTTAGATGACACTTGGCGCGATAAGACGGCGATGGGGATGTAGATGGCGATGGCTAGGATCTGCCAACATCCTTCCTCTTGCTGTCCAAGAGTCCTACATCGGCCGGCTCCTCAACTGCAGTGCTGGATGCCGGTCGAACCCCCAACTTCTCGGTGAGTGGCCCTTTCTGCCTCGGAATCATCGTGCCGGCTGTTGTTCGCCTGATGAAGGGCATCTTGTTGGATGAGTGAATGGTTACGGCCGAAGTCTCTTCGACAGAGAGGCGTCGTGCATGGCATGTTGAAGATTTATTGGCATGCATATTGCCAGAGCTTTCAAGTACGTTCGTATATGGTAGCTCTAAGCGCAGCATTATGCACTAGGAGTCTTTGTGTCTCTATCAAGCTTGAATACAACCCAGACTGCTGCGTAGATAACTCAGATCGGATAAAGCAGTCCGCACCACCAAGGAAGGTCTGGAGTAGGGTAGATTTGGACTGTGTGAGCATGGGCCCTGAACTGGGTGTGAGGTTGCCATGATCAACGTTTTCGGATTGGTGTGCCTTGGTGTCTCACCTGCCGAGTCACGCTGACAGACAGGTGCCCTCCATGATCCCAGGATGCTCCTCGCCCATCATACCTTTTTACAAAAATTTCACATCTCCTCCGATGTTCCCGATCAGCTAAATCATCAGCCCGAAAGATGTCGAAGGAAATCCGCATGGGTATCAGGCAGTGTTGTAGCGATTGCATATTGATTCCTGCCATGATTCCAGCCCACCCTTTTTGACCGATAAGATCAGAAGACATTGTTGATAAGTCATCGGTAGTGGAATGTGTGGGTGGCCTCGTATACACATCTTTACCCTCTCCTCGGTAAATATCAGTATATAAGATGCTGATGAGCCGCTTGGATATCATGGGCTTTTGTTAAACTTCACTGAAACCCGAACTATTCTTCTTCTGTGATTCTTGACTCTTTATTGCCAAGTTGCATAAACTCTGAACATCAATCTCTAACCACCAGGCAGCGCTCACCTTGTCACTGTCCAGTTACTTCAAACGCCACCTTCATTCTCCCATATCTCAAGTTGCACGAGCCTCGTTAAGATTCAGCCAGGCAAACATCAGTGCTTCACTGTACGCCTTCCACAACTACAAGAAACCAGAGACATCAGACATCGGGCAATTAGCCAACCGGGACCGGCATCCATTTGGCCAGTTTCCATGCAGGACAAAAAGGACGTGGTGTCTCAAAGAGCATTGCGGATCTGAAAAATCTAAGAAGTAGGACAAACTGGAATCACAAAGACAGGACACAAGGCCACGCAACCCACCCCAGGTTCAACTCAACAGCCAGGAGGCTATCTCGCTTATACAAGGTTCCGTGGATTGCCCCAATCAGTGATCGGACCTGGGCTGAGCAGTCAGCTTACAGAGACTTACATCCATCATCATCTTGGGGGTCAGCCTTGTTGAGCTCAACGCCAAATGGTCCTGAAGGTCCATTGATCAACGAGAAAACTGTTAGCAACCGTCACCCGCGGTGAGGTAGCGGTCGACAGCAGGCGACAGCGGACGGTGTTCAGACTGTGAAAGGAGATTAGGGACCCGCGGACGGCCCGGGGATCAGCTTGACCAGGCCCCACTTTGGATCGGTAGTGTAAGTCCGAGTCTGGGGATGGCAGCATCCGGATCCAAGCAAGTACCCCAAGGCATGATTGCTTAGAGGTTGACGGTTGATGGATCAGTTACGGCGCACACTTTGAGAATTCCTCATTACAGCGCACCCGCACTATTCAAACCATTCACAAGAACAAGACGGTCGGAAAGACGAAACGAGATAGTCAAGCACAAACCCCAGCGCATCGGCTGCGTGCTAGTTTTTCATCGGCGACACGCCGGCATCTCTTACACATTCGGAAGAGTTACCACCGCACTCTCACCTCAATAACACTGGCATAGCACAGTTTAGCACTCTTACGCGAAACGCAGGCAACGACCATCTCTGCAAGTGCATACCAGGCATTGCGAATTGGCTCTGGTATTTTCCCCGTTCTCATCACATCTCAGATCTTTCTCCTCCGTTAGGTCCCCATCGCCTACTCCTCCCCACTCCGTACCCCGCCTCTCTCTTTCTGCTTAAGACATCATCTTGCAGGGCACTCGAGGTGGGACGGTTTTGACCTCTTTTTATAACACCACGATCTCCAACTGTATAGCTATCTTTGACTCGCTTTCTCCCAACAGCGAGGCAAACATTATTCTTGGGCACTTCTCTGATCGTCGGAAGTTGACTCACGCAACAGCACGTACAACTCAGCCTGCCTCCCAGCCGCCGCTTCCGCGCTGCATTCCGCTCATACAGCCCGCAGCCAGCCAGCCAAGTTACCGCTCGGAGCGCATACATATTGTCGGGTGCTCGAAAAGGACAGGGCTCTTATTTCGAGGCCGATGCGCTTGACCTTCACTCAGTTGGCCCTCAAGTTCTAACGCCTTCCACCTAGCACTGTGTGCACAGACAACAAGTCATTTTTACAACGCCTCCCAAACCGAGGGAAATCTCAACGCGCAAACCTTCTCGTCTCGTTGCGAATTCTAAATACTTCAGCCCCTCTACCCCCCCTCCCTCACCCTTCTCTTGGGTCTTACACGGCGCGTCAGCACTTATTGCCTCCCGGGGCTCTTGGAGTGCTAGGGTGGTGCAAAACCAATACCACGGCAGAGGACGGATTACGATACCGATAGGAGTACATTCCTTCCTTGTGGCTGTACGTACCATATATAGGCCGGCCGCCATCACACAATCTGTAATAGGACATCCAGTGCCTCCGCTTTACCGCCTTTCTGTTAGTCCCCACCTTCCACCCCAAAAGTTTCCCTCTCAGAGTCAGCGGCGCTTTCTCCGCACATCGCACAACAACCTGGCAAAGTTGACTCCTTCCTCTCCCAACTCATTCTGCTCCCTGCACCTCGCCTCTCCCTGCCCGCTGTCTGCTGTGATGCCTCGCACCTGCTTCAAAACATCCACAACGAGGTAGCAACCTACCGCTGTCCTGCTTGGTGCGGTGCAGTGCATTCAAACGGGACGTTCTGCTGACTCATCCCAGTCATTGCCCAACAGAAAAGGCCGATTGAACTGAAGCCTTGGATCTCAACCGCGAACCACTGCAACCACTGCAACCTGCAACCACTTCACACCCCTTGTCGCTTTCGCTCTCCGTTCCTATTCGGCGACTGAAGCGTAGGCAAGATCCGACATAAAAAAAAAAGGCTGCGGTTTGGGCAATCGCTTGCCCCTTTCTTTTTCTTTCATTGCAGTGCATTGCCTTTGTTGTCCTCTCCGGCGACTTGGCTCCCTTGCCTTCACGGGCACTCGTTACAAACTTCCCCGAACATTGCCAAGGGCAGTTAGGCGGCTACACACCCCAACCCGACATTCACCACAATCGCCCACATTAAACCGTTCACCAACCGCCGACTTCGACATCCCTCGACGACACGGTTCTGAGTTCCTGCGCAAACCTTGCAAGTGCTTGCGAAGGAATTGGATGCCATTGATCCCCAGTTCCCACCGAATATCTTGTCCTCAGACCACCGCGACTCAGCGACACGTCAGCCTTGCAGTTTGCTCTCTCCTGACATCTTCCCGCATCGCTCCAAGCAAACCCACCACTCCAACCGCGGCACCGAGTCATACTCAACCTCACTGTTGTTCGGTTGCTTTATACTTCCATTTTATGGCTGGCTGTTTGCGAAGGTAAGCCCCCCATACATACCCACATCACTTGGTACGAGGCTGGGATTTCTTTTGCTGACGCTTGGTGGCACTCTAGGGCCCTCCTTATTCAATAAACTCGTCTAGGCGCCACATCGTTGGCTCTGGAAGAACAAGGACACGCAAGCAGACACCGAAGGATCCACCAGTACGATTCCCAACAACATGGCACAACACGGATTCCCAATGGGCGGGCACAGTGGAGGAGGCATTGACCCGAACGACCTGGCCATGGGGGCCAATTTTCATGGCTCCTTCCAAAACAACTACCTCAACCACACCAACAACTCGTCGAATGGGTTTTCTAGCGGCTCAGCTTTGTTTGGAGACGATGAACTTCTCGATGGTTTGAACAGTCCCAGTGATCCTCATGTCGGAATGCAGGGTCATGGGCAAGACTTTGGCGGAATGAATGATGTTGGCATGAACTTTCCGGATTCTTACCATCAAAGCCTGCCCATCAACCAAGCTCATACAAACGGCTATTCGAGCACTCCCGACGGCGATCCGATAGCATCGCCATTTGTCCATAACTTCTCGCATTTTCGGCAAATGCAGCACCCTCAATCCTTCGGAACATCGCTCCAGTCGCCCATGTCATACGCTGGGTCACCATTGGCGAATACCGACATGAACAGTGATGGGACTGACCCAAATTTCTTGAGCGCAAAGGCACATACCAGGATACCGCAAACCATGCAGCGCAAGTCGTCCACCACACGAAGCCCTCTTACCCCCAAGGCGATAGACATGGCCGGACTGTCGGTGAACTCGGGATCATTTGGCCCTCAGCCCATCAGAACATCAGGCCCCCACCATGAGAAGTCCCATTCCGCGCAATGGATGCAAACCCCACAGAGTCTCTCCTCGTTTCCTGGGTCTGGTTTCTCCTCACCTCTTCAGGCAGGCCTTCATGGCCCCCATGCTCAGATCAATGACATTCTGTTGAAGGGCGGCACATCCATGCCCGCCAAGCTTGGCACCGCGACCTCCTCTGTGTCGACACAAGAAGCAAAGAGGAAGAGGAGGCGCGAGTCACATAACCTCGTTGAAAGACGGAGACGTGATAATATCAACGAGCGCATTCAAGATCTTAGCAAGCTTGTCCCTGCCCATCGTCTAGAGGATGAAAAGATTCGCAAGGCAATTCAAAACGGAACGCCCCTTTCACCCACGCTTGCGGGCATTTCAAGTCCTTCCCAAGCCACATCAGCCCTAGCTGGACCTGGAGCCAGACGAGCGGCTGGCAGCACGGCTGGAAACATTACGACAGGCCTGCCGATTGAGGAGAAGGATAAGGGCCCCAACAAGGGCGATATTTTGAATGGTGCGGTGAGCTGGACTCGAGATCTTATGTGGATGGCCTACCTCAAGATCCAACAACAAGAAGAGCTCATCAATGCCTTGTTGGAGCGTGGGGGTACGGTACCCTTTGAGATCACCGATGATGAGAAGCGGATGCAGACAGAGCTTATGGAGGCCATTGCCAGAGGAGAGGACGGTAGCGGGAAGACCCGGGGTTTCTCGTACTCTCGCACGGCTGGCACTGGCCTTCGCGTTCCCCATCATACGGACTACAAGGGTGAGCCCTTGAACACCAACGGTGTCAATGGCGAACACCTTTCCACCAGTCCCGCCCATGGTGGCGCCGACGGGAAGTTCAACGATGGCCTCGATGCCGGCGACTTCCTTGAATATGAGGATGACGGCGCTGACATGGAGTTCAAAGAGGAGGACGAGTATGGAATGGACTTGACTCAATGATCGTAGGAATCGGATTTGGTTGATCGCGATGCTAGTGTGGATTATAGTTTATCTTCTCTTTTCTTTTGTTGCGAACGCAGGGCGGGGGGCTTTCTCATCTCTTAACCATCGCTTGGAACCCTATGGACATATCATTTATTATCTCGGCCATGATCATCACTTGACAGGCTTTCATATCCCTGATCTGCATTTTCATCGCAGCGGCACATTGGGAACGGGGTCTAGGTACTTAGCATTTCACTGGTCGTTCAGGGATTGAGCACAAATGTGATTTGGCACATGGGCGTACAGACTGGGTCTTGTTTTTTATTCTGTTTCGGGTTTCCTTTCTATTCTTTCTTTTTTAGCTGTCGATCTTGTTTTCTGACCGAGCATCATGTGTACACGGAAGGCATGACGGCTTACTTCCTCGGTACGGCGCTTGCGTGATAGTGCAGAGGGATGGTGTTTTTTTGTTTTTTTTTCTGTTCTTCTTGTTTCGGAAGTATCATTTTTAGCGTAACTCTGCTGGCTCGGTTTCTTCGGTGTTCCGTCTGTCCTTGTTTTGTTTTAGGGTGCTGGTCACTATGGCGTACTACCTGGGTTTCTCCTGCTTATGACGATTATACCTCAGGCGCTTTGGAGGATTCCATCGGGGTAGCATGAAGGAGGAGTTGGCTTTGTTTCTCGTCGATTCTATCTAAGAAGCATGACAATCACCGCTCTATTCGATCGATTACTTGTATCACACCATACTCCTACCCAAGCCTGGTGACTCTCCTTATAATATCGATCAATGTGCCCTCAATCCGACAAACCCGTGTAGGCCATAGGTATTCAGGGCTGTCGGGCGGCGCATTCATGGACTGATTCGTGCCAGCCCTCCGGCTAGAGGTACCTAGTGTATCGACCAAGGGAAGCTGACCTTTCTCGTCTGTATTCGGATGGGCTGTGGCTGTTCCTTCCTGGAGACACCAAACTCGAGAAAGGAACGACACTGTCTAACAAGTGGAAGGTAAGAACCTCCACGGTTGCCCCGTGACTTCGATTGTTGAGCGATTTCACTAGGTGACAGGTGAGGGAAGGTTCACTGGTGCGCCGACTGTCCATCGTGATTAACGACAATGTAGACTAGGTTATGGGCCGATAGCGAAAAGCCTTCTCCCCCGAAATACTTTGATTGTCCAATATTAGTGCCCGCAGTCAACTATTGTGTTTAACAGCATGACAATGGAAATACTATGTATATAGACAGCCCCTTGCCCATCGACAGCTTCACCAATGTCTGGTACACAACAAATACTCGCTCATAGCCGTCAATAACGACCACGCCTCCTTCCGCTTCATATCCTCTTGCAAAGCAATCCGCTCCAGCGCCGACCGCCCATTGAAGTACTTCCAGAACTGAGGCCACGTGTTAGCCACCCGCTCGTCCCAGTCCTTAGTCCCTCGTTGAGCGCTGGCTGATCCGGAGACGGTACGCCCTCCTCCTGACGTTCCGGTTCCACCGGCTGTTTTCGCGCCGGCGCCGGTGGTGTTGATATCGGTCGCAGAGGAGGATGCGATGTTTGTGGCATCATTGCTTGTAGCGGTGTTTGCGGAAGCATTGGCACTGCTGCTGTTTTTGTTGTTGTTGCCGTTACCAGCTCCAGCAGCAGCATCCTCCGACCCCGTCCCCGATCCTTCCACACCAGCACCGTCCGTGGCTGCAGCGTCACCACCAGTACCGGCCTCAGATGCACCAGCAGGAGCAACAGTCGCCGCCGTCGTCGTAGCCACCTCCCCACCCCGCCCCCTCAACCTTCTTTCAATAGCACTCAAGTACAAACTCTCCTTCCCCGTCGCCTTCTTCGCATCCAGTATAATATGCGGACTCATGCCCAGCAGGTGTTTAGCATGGTTTACGCTCGGGTGTCTCGTCGCCTGCGGCACAGCCTTTCGCGCGTGCGCCATGGCCCGCTCCGCGAGCTCGCGCGCCGCTTTGTCGGCTATGCGCTCCAGTCGGGCTTTTTCTGCGGCCAGTTCGGCGGGGGTCGGCTGATGGTGCGTGGAGGAAGTACCGGCTGAGGCGTTGGTATCTTCAGATATGGTGCGGGTGAGTTGAAGGCTGGGGCGGGGCGGGTTGAGCATGCTGAGAGTGTTGGCGGAGGCGTAGGAGGCTGTGGGAGAGGAGGAGCCATTGTTGTTGTAGTTGTCTTTGTGGGAGTTGGTCATGTAGTCGCTGGTTCCGAGAATGAGGGTTGAGAGGGAAGTGGTTGACATAGGCGAAGTTAGGGTGGGGAGGAACTCGTTGATGGGGGTAGAAGCTGGATGGGCGCGGGAAAGGGTTGGTGACTGTGAATTGGACAGGTCACGGAGAGTTGCTGCCGAGGAATCCAGGTCTGAGGCCGATGCCGACTCGGCTGCGAGCGAAAGGAATCCAGATCCGGCGAAGCCTGCTAAGGGACCCTCGCTGAGTGCCGCTGCCAACACGTTATTACCGGGTCCTCCGATGTCACCACTGTTGTCCGCCACCGTTGTTGGAGACAGCATATCGTCGTGTTTGTGGCCTTGGTCCTCCCGACCCCTATTCTGTGCTTTCGCCTTCTCGTGCGCAATCTCTTCTGCCTCTAGTTCATATTCAACTTCGTATATGATCTCCGGCCAGACCACAACGTACGCAAAGGTGCAGAGCTGGGTAACCCAACCGCCGCGCATCAACCACGCCAGCATAGCCATATAAAGAGGCCGGTGAGCCTTACTCGGACAGTGCAGTTTATACGGCCGTGGGGCAACACTCAGCTCGGCCAGGAAATTGGGCAACGGTGGTGAAAGTGGGAACTGTCTCGCCCACTGCGCAGATGCTTGAGGAAGTCTGCGCAGATCGCAGTTGGGACTCACAATGTACATATCGCGGCCGTGCAAAGGCGGTATGGCGATGGCTCGTCGCCAGAATATGAAGTGTTCGGCGAACCTCCGCACCTGGGCAGGCGAAAGGATACTACTTGCCTGTTGTTGCACCTGGTGGAAGGAGAGATTGGGCTTGCATCTGCGTACAAACTCGATCATGGCCTGTGTAGTAGGGTCGGATTCGGGGCCCAATAATTCGTTGATAACTTTCTTCTCTTCTGCCATCAGGAGGAGCGCAAAGGTCTTGTCCAGATATTCGGGCTCCTCTACGTTCTCGTCGGCTTGCAATGAGTTTGCCGTCGTCAACCACAGGCCAAGCTGCTCCTCCGCTTGGCCGTCCTGTGGCAGGTCGGGCACATGGAATGGTACAGGAATCTGCACCGAGTGAGTGACCACACCCTCAATGGTCTCAAGCTGAATGGCAGCAATTCTGTTTCGTGATATGGCGTCGTATATGTCCTGCATAGACGCTGCCAGTGAAGAGTTTGATAGGATTTCCTCCCACAACTGACTCATCTTCCTCTCTGATTCACAAGCAGGTACATTAGCAGGAGCCCGCAGCGATGGAGTTGATGGATACACTCACTATCTTCCCGGCCCTTGTCCTTCAAGGCTAGAATCTTCTTAGATTCCTTCCAGATGAAATCACCCCTCTGCTGGCAGTACTTGTATGCCTTGTTGACTTTCTTGATGATATGCGTGTAGAGTATGTCGACAAGGTCGGCAACCTCATGCCGTCGGGGGTTCAAGATGAAGACAAGGTTGAACATGGTCATGGAGCTTTTCTTGTCTTCGGCCTCTTCGGCTGGTTTGGCAGCAAGCTGGTCTACATCCGAGGGGCCTTTGTCACTGGTCCTGGCGGGACCATCCGTGTCTGTAGGGGCGGTGTCATCGTGATCCCGGTGCTTTTGCTGCTTCTTGCTCTTCTTCCGCCAGACCCCGTTCTCTGGCACATAGATGGGATATGAAACGCAGTAGAGAGAATCCAGGGAAACCTGGAACAAGCGTTTGTGATAGGCCCTGGCCGGAGTCAGAATGTTTTCCAGATCCTTGGTCGGGAAGCCAGCAACGTGCTCCCAAGGAACAATCTGTGTGCCGCTCTCGGTGATGAGATGGTCGTCGTGGTTCCACTGCGACAGCTCGGACTCCTTTAACGGGGATGAAGAGCTGGCATCGAGGCCAACGGCATGGGTGACTCGATGCAGAAGGGCCTCGTCTTCCTCGTCCAGATCGTCCAGATCGTCGCCATCTCTTGCGGCTGCTGTAGCCTGTGGTGGCAAGACATGGGGGGGATAGTGGAAGACAAATCGCGGGCCGTCCCGAGAACGGTTGATGACGAGAGCAACAGCGAGGAAGTTGTCTGGGCTAGGCAAGACGGGGTATGCCATTTTGAGAGGTTTGGGGAGGCTGTTTCTTCTCTCGTTGTCCTTTGGTTTCCAGTGCTGGCCCGGTGATTTCTACTTGATTACAGCCTATAGCACTGAACGCACACAGCTGAACACCTCGTGCAATTATCTGTCCATCCGAACCTACATCAACCTGACATGCTCATGTATATATCATGCCTTGCTGCTGTCCAACTCGGTGCTAGTTGATATCCTTTTGTCTTTCTCATACCATGGCTGCTGAACGGTATCTGGAATGTCTCTTACTGCCGGGTGCGAGTGAGTTGCGAAATAATAACACAAATAGCGTGTTAAAGCTGACCGTAATCGCAGCTGTTTCGTAATGACGGCTGAATTTAGAGCCTACCCCAGCTCAGGCTCCGACTTTCTCGACTCTTGACTGGACCGAAATGGTGGGCAAGGTGACTCGAGTGAAGGGGAGGGGGGCCGGATGGAATGGCGGCCAAAAGCGACGACGTCAGACGGAAAGGCGAAACGGTTATTGGTACCAAACCTGCAAATGAGGCGAGGGGCGCAATTCGAGATGCAATCAGGGTTGAAACCTCGAAAGATTCGACTTGCGGTGATGGTGATGGGGTCTACACTAGAGTACAGGGCGGGTGGCGGTGGTTGCCCGTTGTTGGGCTTGGCCAACCGTAATCCACTTTTCTTTTCGTTGAATCGTTCGCGAATTTCACGTGCAGTTGGGTGGACAGCGCGGCGCAGGCTGGCGAGAATCAAGGCGGGACATTGAAAGAGGGTACGTACCCTTACGTAGGGGACCTTTGACAGGACTAGCCAAACACGGTTACTCGATCCAGACTCGTCCAGTCAGGGGCGACCTTGGAGAGAACAACCTAGACAAGAGGCCAAGGGACCACCAGGCACACAAGGGACCACGGGGGTTTTGGCGTTGGGTCGGCGTGGTTGGCAAGGTTGGGCCGTCGTAGTGTACACTACCTACTTACCTAATTGCCCGGGGCGGCAAGCGACCCCAGGCGCAAAAAGAGAAGCATGTGTTTGTAGGCCCGGCTTTGTTAGTGGGGATGGCGACTTTCGTTGATGAATACCTACCTACCAAAGGGCAAGTGATCGTGTGAGAAACAAGGCCCAGCGGGACTTGATCATCGTCTTTACCAATCGGCTTCTGTTTCCACTTAGGTTGCGTCTATCCAACTGGCCTCACCGCGGCATCATCCAACGCCATTGACGAAGCTTATGCCTCTTCAGATTCCTCCGTCCTTGTCCCATCTGCAGGCCGCGCATCCTTCTCCTTGGCTGTGCTGAATCGGCTTAGAGAGTGAGATACAGTACCATAGGTGCGAAGAAAGATACTGTACTGTAAACAACCCCCTCCTCCCACCCCCCCTTTTTTTTATGTCCGTGGTCTCCTTTCCTCGACATCCAACTTCACTTGCTTCTGCATACCTCTCCGCGCATAACGTCTGTCAATGTCTTGCACTGCAGTGCTACATAATCCAAAGTAAAGGAGAAAAAAAAAAACAATAACTCATGAGCAGACTTGCCCATTGAGCAAAAACGCGAATTCCATCACGAAGCTCTGCCGTCATCTCCCCTCCCCCACAGGGCACACGTATACAGTCCCTAGCAAAGACCGAATCGGCCTTGCGATTCCTACCGCCCACCATGGCTGTCGGAACAGAGAACGGCACCCAAACAGCCAACGGCCAGTCCAACGGCCACTTGAACGGCAACGGGCCCGTTGAGCCTCACATTCGCTACATCCCTTTCGCTTACTCGAGCGAGGACTCCGAAGCCACCGCCCGCCGTCTCGTTCTCGCCATCCGCCCCGCCTGGGAGAGCGCCGATTCCAAGGTCGAGTTCGTGCGCTTCACCGATGGTATCACCAACACACTCCTCAAAGCAGTCAACAAAAAGGCCGGCCTTTCCAAGGATGAGGTGGACAAGGAGGCCATCTTGCTCCGCGCCTACGGCAACGGCACCGACTTGATCATCGACCGCCACCGCGAAACCCAGAACCACGAGCTGCTCATGCGATACGGCCTCGCTCCCGAACTGCTCGCCCGCTTCGAGAACGGCATGATGTACCGCTTCGTTCAGGGCTCCATGACCCACCCCGAGGATCTGCGCAAGCCCGTCATCTACAAGGCCGTGGCCAAAAGGCTTGCCCAGTGGCACGCCGTGGTACCTTGCATTGCTGCTCGCACCGGACACAGCCGCAGAAACTCCAAGAACACCGACTTCATTGTACCGTCCGAAGCCCTTGGCGATGCCGAGTTTCAGCAAATCATTGACAGTGTCGCGCCTGGAAAGCCCCCGCCGAACGTCTGGACTGTCATGCAGAAGTGGATTTTTGCCCTGCCAACAGATACGGAAGCGCAAAGAGAGCGTCAGGCCCAGTTGCAGAAGGAGCTTACCAGGACTGTTGCCGAGCTGAGCCAGCGGCCAGGCTTGGGTACCAATGGGGTGAGTACTGCCTTCTATCTATCTCTTTCCCGTGTTTCCGACATGCCGGATAATTTTGTTGATCACCTCACACAACAGCTCGTGTTTGCACACTGCGATCTCCTCAGCGGCAACGTCATCGTCCTTCCCAAGCCCCAGCAGACACCCGCCGACGACCGCAACGGCGTCACCGCCAAAGACACGACCATCGACGTGACCTTCATCGATTACGAATACGCGACCCCCTCACCAGCCGCCTTTGATATTGCCAACCACTTTGCCGAATGGGGTGGCTTCGACTGCGATTTCAGCGTCCTTCCCACGCGCGTCCAGCGTCGCGAGTTCATCACCGCGTACATCCGCGCCTACTATGCTTACCAAGGCGAGAAGAACGGAACCACGGCCGATTATGACGAGGCAGCTGAGGTCGATCGCCTACTAAACGAGGTGGACGTCTTCCGGGGCCTGCCTGGATTTTACTGGGGCATCTGGGCGCTGATTCAGGCGACCATCTCCCAAATCGACTTTGACTATGCCTCCTATGCCGAGACAAGACTGGGCGAGTACTGGGCTTGGCGAGATGAGATCTCGGGTGATCGCCAGCGCGCTGGAAAGGAGATCCCGCTGAGGGAGAAGAGGTGGGCTCAGGAACAGTGAGCGCATCGGGTTGGAAGAACATAAACCAAAAAAAAAAAAAAAAAAAAAAAAAAAAAAAAAGATCTCACTACGTCTGTTCGCGCACACACACACACACACACACACACACACACACACAGAGGAAAATAGCGTCGATGGGCATGGCGTGTCAGGAGTCGGGTTGATTACATGACCTATACATGATGCATGTATTCTTTCGGTTCTATATCAAATTTCTTTCCTTGATGTACTTCTTCACCACGGGAGGCTCTGCATGGGAATATGGGCGAGCATTCAACATTGGCCTCACGGAGTTGTTTTTGTTTAGTATAGATTAGATACCTCATCTCGACAGTCGGCTAGTAGCTCGAGTTGGCGCATTGAACATAATTATAGTAATCAAACAGACAGGACGTCCGCTAACATATCTGTGAGAAGTTATCACATGAGAGTGGCATTGGGTTCACGAGACCAATATTCCATTTATCTACGCCAAGACTGATCGTTGGCAAAACAGCAGTAGCTACCATACGCCCATCAGCTGTTCTGTTGTGCCCAGTTGTTGAAAACAATATATAACATCGCCGTGCCCGGTTTGACGCCATTCGTGATCCTATGATACCCCTTGTTACCTTGTCGCAGAAATTCATAGTTGTTGAATAAAATGACTCTCCTTTGTCCCACTCTCGTATGTAGTCAGTCAATTTGTAGCTTTCACCCCCCTTGCCCTCCCGTGGGTAAAGCCTTCTACTATCCTCCTTCAAGTGCTCTAAGCAGACTTGTAGTACTTGCTAGGCACAAACGGCATCTTGGTTACCACCGCCGGCCTGGCCTTTCCTCTCACCAGCACCTCCACCTCCGTCCCGCTCTTGTGCTGGCCATCCTTGATATACCCCATCGCAATGTTCTTCCCTAGACTGGGGCTCGGACACCCACTCGTGATCCTACCAAGCTTCGTAGTCGGGTCCCCCTTGGCCACGATCTCCGCGCCTTCTCTGGCGGGGGCACCAGTCACAATAAAGCCGACGCGACGGCGGACGACGCCGTTTCCTCCTTTGCTCTTGGGAGTCAGCTGCGAGTTGATGGTCTCGGCGCCGTAGTACCCGGCATCCGCCTTGCGGCGGTTCGGGGGAATGATCCAGCTCAAAGCGGCCTCGACAGGGGACACCGTCTCGTCCAGGTCGTGCCCGTACAGGCACATGCCCGCTTCCAGGCGGAGGGAGTCGCGCGCGCCGAGACCGGCGAGCTGGACCTTCTCGGCACCGCCCACGTGGAGAAGCTTCTCTGTGACCTCGACGGTCTCGGATGGCGGGATGGAAATCTCGAACCCGTCCTCGCCCGTGTAGCCGCCGCGGCTGATCAACAAGGGCGCGCTGGTTTTACCACCATCAAGCTTCACCTTGCCGTACACCGACTGGCCAAAGTAGAGCTGCTTCAGATCGGTGTTGCCGTCGAGCGCATCAGCCAGCACCGCCTCAGCCTCGGGTCCTTGCAAGGCCACCAGTCCCCAGCCATCCAGCTGCTCCTGGTTCACTTCCAACCCGGATGCTTTGGCCTTGGCGAGCTCCTGGTCAAAGTACTCATTATCCTTCTCGCGGCAGCCAGCGTTGGTGACGACGTAGAATTTGTCCTCGGCCAGCTTGGTGAGGATGGTGTCGTCCACAATGCCGCCGGACCCGTCGGCCTTGAGCAGCACCGACAGGGTGCTGCGGTGGACGCCCAGCGAGGCCAAGTCGGAGGGCGTGACGCGCTCGAGGAACTCGCGGGCTCCTGAACCGGAGAAGATGCGCTGCACCATGTGGCTGACGTCGAAGATGGAGGAGTGTTCGCGCGTGAAGGCGTGCGAAGCACTTACTGAAAGACCCTTGTACTGCACCGGCATGTGGAAGCCGCCGAAGGGAACCATCTGGGCGCCGTGGGCAAGGTGGAGGTCGTAGAGGGGAGTCTTCTGAAGGGCCTCCGACGACGAGGCGGATGAGGAGCCATGACGGGCGTGCTGCGTCCTGGACGTGAAGAGGGTTGCGCTAAGCCCAATGGCTGGGTTGCGGGAGACGTTGCGACCGGTTTGGGGACGAAGGGTGGTGATGGCGGAGCTGTTGAGGGTGCTGAGAGTGCGAGTCTTGCGCGATACTGCACGCTGGGAAATGCGGGTAGCGCTTCGGACGGCGTTAGTAACCGACGCCGACTTCAAGCTCTGCATCTTTAATGAATTGCGGTGGTTTGGTTGCCTTGCTTAGGACTGATGTTCTTGTTGGCAGTGCTGTTATTCCCTTTACTGCTGTCGTCGTTTATCTGGCGACGTCAGAATTTGGATCTGGGGGGTTTGTACACAACCAAGCTACTAATGAACGCAGAAAAAACACCGTAACGTAACACAATCTCCAGGAAGGAAAAAAGTTGCGATACAAAGAAGGGAAAGTAATCAGAGTCATATAAAGTTCAGTCATTGAATTGCATTATCATCTGTCATCACTGCCGATCCTGGCCGAGACCAGGGGTCAGATACCCGAACATTCCCATTCCCCACTTTGCTAACAGCCCGGCTATCGTTGCTATGGGGTTCCCATTTGTTTACTCATGCGGGTTGGGCCCTTTTTATAAGGCACGCCTGTTTATTTTACCTATTCGTTACGTGCTGCTCCCGGGAATGACTCGAGCTTGAGCTCCAGGGCTTCAATATCCAAATGTTCGTCTAGAATCCCCTTCCAGCACGTTTCCTGACTGGCTTCACCACGGCACCCGCTTTAACCACCCTCTTGTCCTTGGACGGGGCCGCCTTCTTCTCAAGCTGAAGCTCTTCTTCTTGCAGCTGATCCTCTTGCCGCTTCTTGTCCGCTGCCATCCGCGCCTCAATCTCCATTTTCCTGTTGAACTCCGTCTCTGTGATCCTCTTCTCCCGCGCCGAATATCCTTTCTCCTTGACCGAATAAAACACACCACCGAGATCCGCCAACCAGTGGGGGTCCACCGATGTCACCGTCGACATGTACTCTTTACTTGTGAGGATCAGCTCGTGGTACACCACGTAGTCTGGCAAGAAGCCCAGTCCATAAAGCGCACTTGTCGGATGCAATTGGACGGTGACACTGGTCCTCAAGTTGATATACTCCCCAATGCCCTTGACCTTTGCTGCCTGGTGATAGTAGCCGGAGCAAATGCACTTGCGAATAACATCCCAGTCGGTGCCACAACTCATCATCTTCATGTTCTGCATCTTCATGATGTCCAGGAGCTGCTCGCGGACTTCCTTGGCACGACGGAGAGATTTGGAGTGCAAAAAGTGTCGCACGCACCAACCGTCGTTATACCCGTTGGCCTTCCATTGTGTGTAAACGTGCAGATAGGTCAAGTGGTCTGATTCTGGCACAAAGAACTTCTCGCGAGCCGCATCTGACTCCTCTTGTCGTTCTTTGGGCCGGTAGAATACGTTGGGAACAGAAAGCATCGAAACGATGGTGACCATTTCCTCGCTGCACCCATACTCCTCCGAGGTGATGAGCAGTTTTGCAAGGGGTGGGTCCATCGGGAACGCGTTCATCTTCCGTCCCAAGTCGGTGAGCTCACCTAGGTTGTCCAGTGCTCCCAACGCCCACAAATCGAAGAGAGATGTACTGATGGTATCCTGAGGTGGCGGGTCCATAAAGTCGAAATCAAGGAGGTCTTTAACACCGAGCGACTTGAGGAGTAGAACGGTATTGCTAAGATTCGTTCTCTGAATCTCCGGAATGGTTTGCATGTACATCTCCTCTTTGAAGGCTTTCTCGGTGAAGAGATGATAGGCTTGGCCAGGCCCAGTGCGACCCGCACGACCAGCGCGCTGCATGGCGTTTGCTTGCGAGATAGGCGTAATTTGAAGGGTATCCATACCCATTCGTGGATTGTATACCTTGAGCTTTGAATAGCCTGCATCAACCACGTACATAATACCATCCACCGTCAAACTGGTTTCTGCGATATTCGTGGCCACGATGACCTTTCGGACACCCGGAGCGGCCCTGTCGAAAATCTTGGCCTGTAAGTCTGCGGGCATCTGACTGTAGATGGGAAGGATACTGAGTTTCGGTGGGTCGTTGAGGGCATCGAGCCGCTCGCGGATGAGTTCGCAGGTCACCTCGATATCTTCCTGGCCGGTCATGAAAACGAGGATATCGCCTGCTGGTTTTCCTACGTGAATCGCCAGAACTTGCTGCACAGCCTGGTCCACGTAATCTTCGACAGGTGACCGATGGAACATGATGTCGACAGGGAAGGTTCTTCCGGGAATAGTAAACTCGGGTGCACCACCATAGAAGTCTGAAAACCGCTTTGCATTCATCGTCGCAGACGTGACAATCAGCTTCAAGTCGCGGCGTCTCTGCAGGATTTTCTTGAACAAGCCCATCAAGACATCAGTGTTGAGGGCTCTTTCATGAGCTTCGTCCATGATAACGCATGAGTAGCGGTCCAGGTCTGGTTCATTCAGCGATTCTCGTAAAAGAACACCATCCGTCATGTACTTGATGACCGTATCCTTGCTCGTGCAATCCTCGAAGCGGATGGCGTAGCCTACCGTGCTGCCCAGTTTCACCTCCATCTCCTCAGCAACACGCTTCGCTACACTCATGGCCGCGACTCTCCTGGGCTGAGTGCAGCCGATCATGCCCGTCTTGCCGTAGCCGTCCTCGTAGAGAAACTGGGTAAGCTGTGTCGTTTTACCAGAGCCTGTTTCTCCAATCACAATGACAACCTGATTGTCACGGATCACACGCAGCAGGTCCTCCCGTACAGCAAAGGCAGGAAGGAATTCGCGTTGTTCCTTCAGGGACTTGCTTTGGCTGAAATTGCTGGCACCCTCGTTCTCCTTCATGTGTTCACTGAACTTGTTCATCTTTTTGCTTTTGCCGGCCTCCTCCTCCACAGCGATAGGCAAGGCGCTGTCGGTATCTTCCTCCTTGACTCCCATCAGGTTGCCTAGTGCAGTTCCTGCCACCTTGGTAGCCTCCTGCGCCTGTCTTTGACGCTCCCTTTGTGTCCTCCTTTCCCTGACCACCTTACTTCCTTTTCGAGCGAAGATAGCCATATCGCTTTGAGAATCTCGCACAGCAGGGACTGGATCCAACTGCTTTGTGAAGATGGTTCGTCCATCCAGAAAAGGAGGTCGTAAGTCGTGCACTAGGAGATGCACTCTGGTGCCTTCCTGGTCATCCTCAAAGTCCTGTCCCAAGTCTCTCCTTTGCGCCACGCCTGAGGTGAGCATCCGGTTTGTCTCCCAGGCGTCGGCATCCTTTTGTTTCTGAATCTGCCGGACGCTCATACCGCGCGCCATCTGCCCAATCTTCTTCTCCGCCAGGGCCGCCTCCCTCTCCTGGGCTGCCCAAGCGCCCTCATCGCCGAAGGGATTGTGGCTGTCATCGCCAAACGTGTGGCCGCCAAGGTCATCGTCACCGCCGTACCAGTCCCGATCGAGGGCATTGGTTGCGTCGTCGTCGTTTACGCCGGGTTCGGGGCCGTCAAACTCTTTCTGCCGAGGTGTCTCTCCGCCACTATACCTGGATCCGACTCGTGGAGTTGAAGCTCGGGAGTTGAAGGACCCATTGTTGCCATTGGCACCTCTGGGGCCCTTGTGTGGCGTGCGCGACGGGAGATCTGAGAAGCGGTCATCGGAGCGAAGTGGGTTGAAATCGATCTTTCTTCGTTTGAAGGACCGGTCTTCATTATCGTCGCGACCCATTTTGGCTGAAGGATAGGTATGTACGTGGGAACTTAAGAAGTTAGCCAACCCAGAGTCGCGTAAAAGACTTGGTTGGCGATGGTTTGTTGACAATGGAAATTTAACTTCCCCAGGAGTGACGAGGGTCGAGACAGCGACCAGACAGCACTGCAGCACCTTCCATGCTTGGCGTGGACCGCTGCGACTGTGAACCGTACACTGGGCTAAAGGAGCTCAGAGGAGGTACCTAGGTACACTACATGCCTAGGTAGCGACTGGCCATTGAGGACCCGTCCAATGATGCAACGGGGGTGGACGCTGTCTCTACGATAAGATAAGCCCCGCCATGCGTCCCCACTAAAAAGTCCATTTTCCACTGGCAAAATCGGTCAGGTCGCGAAACCAAAATTTGCCCGTAACTTACGCTGTTTCGTCCTGTACTGCCGTTCCGTCGCAACACACAGCACCTGGAGAGTTCGACCTGTGGCCAGCAGCACCTTTTTGTCTTTTTCTTTTTCTTTTCTAACCTTCCCTTCTTTTTCATCCGGCAGAATATTGCCGGTTTTCTCCCGCAAACCGTGACCGATACATCGCCATTACGTTGCGACAATGTCCATGATCACGACCACCGCCTGGGTGCCGCGAGGCTTTGCGGCGCCTTTCCCGACCAAGTACACCTTCGACGAGAAGGAGTTCGAGCGCATTGCTGCTTTGGCCAAGCTCCAGCTCGATGATGCCCAGGACGACTTGGATGAGGCCAAGGAGAAGGAGGCCAATGGCAATGTTTCCGACAAGGAGGACGACGATACGGCCATGAAGGTTGATACGCGCGATGAGTATGTTTCGGCTGACAGTTTCGACATTGGAACCACCATTGCTAACTGATACCTTGTAGGATTGAGATTGATGACGACCTCAAGGAGTACGACCTGGAGCACTACGACGACGATGATGACAACGTGGGTGAGGCGCAACAAATGGGCATGTTCGGCAACGTGAAGTCGCTCGCCTACTACGAGTCTAACCAGGAGGATCCGTATATCACGCTGAAGGAGGAGGAAGAGGACGATGAGGACCGCGAAGATCTCCAAATTTTGGCCACCGACAACCTTTTGCTGGCCGCCAAGATCGAAGACGAACTTGCACATCTCGAGGTCTATGTTTACGAAGATGCCGCCGACAACCTTTACGTCCACCACGACATTATGCTTCCCGCGATACCACTATGCCTCGAATGGCTCGATATCCCCGTCAGCAAGCCGGGCGTCGACAAGGACTCTATTGGCAACTTTGTCGCCATCGGCACGTTCGACCCTGATATTGAGATTTGGGACCTCGACACGGTGGATTGCATGTACCCCAACGCTATTCTGGGACAGGGCGGCAATCCCGAGGACGAGAAAAAGAAGAAGAAGAAGAAGAAGTCCAAGAAGGCCAACGACGAGTACCACGTCGATGCTGTCTTGGCCCTCGCCGCCAACAGGAAGCACCGCAACTTGCTAGCGTCCGCCTCTGCCGACAAGACGGTCAAGCTGTGGGATCTTCACACCACCAAGTGCGCCAAGTCGTATAGCTACCATACCGACAAGGTGTGCTCGCTAGCCTGGCACGCAGTTGAGTCGACAGTGCTGTTGTCCGGTTCTTACGATCGCACCGTTGCCATCGCCGATATGCGCGCGCCCAATGAGCAGCCCATGCGTGTGGGCGTGGAAAGCGATGTCGAGAACGTTAGATGGGATCCTCACGACCCCAACTTCTTCTACGTCTCGACCGAGAACGGCATCATCCATTACTTTGATGCCCGAAACACTACCAAGGATCCTGCGGTCAGTAAGTCCGTCTGGAAGCTCCAGGCGCACGACGAGTCGGTGTCTTCTTTCGATCTCAACCCCGTCATTCCCGGATACATGGCCACGGGATCTACTGACAAGACCGTCAAATTGTGGAACATCACTGCCGAGGGTCCCTCACTTGTGGTGTCCCGCGACTTTGACGTCGGCAAGGTCTTCTCGACAACATTCGGTCCTGATCCCGAGGTTGCCTTTAGACTTGCGGTTGCGGGTAGCAAGGGAACCGTTTCCGTTTGGGATACCTCCACCAACGCTGGCGTCCGCAAGTTCTTCGCTCAAAAGGTGCCTACCAAGGCCACTGATGAGGATGTTGAGGATAAGCTTGTCGCGGTCAATGACGTTGAGGACAGCAGCAGTGAGGACGGCGAGGATGATGATGATGATGATGACGAGGACGAGTCCGGATCTGACCAGGACTCAATGGATGAAGATGACGAGTAAGCGCGGGATGTGTGTAGCTTAGGTCGGGGAAAAAATGATTCAAAGGGATATGAAAAGGATACCTGCCTCAAATTATCAGCTGCTTTCTCACTGTCTGTTGACTTTCTTTTTTTTTAGCGGTTATTGGATCTTGGCGGCGTACTGGTTACTATATACAAGAAGGTTTGAAGCTCAATTTTCCTATGATCACGATTGTGCGCGGAGCAACTCACATTCCGGCCATGTGTGACTTCAAATTCCTTCAATGGCCTAGTGAGGTACAGGAGGGAGCTATTGAGCAACTCGATGTTGGCTGCAAACAGCATGTTATTCTTAACAACCTGCTGGAAGCTGAGTTCCTCGATCTCATGCGCCGGGCATTGTTCCGCCCTTCTCGGGGGATACGATTTTCGCAGAATAACGCCCGTCATGTGCTCGAGATTTCCTTCGATCATGGAGACCCGTTGGGAGTTCGTGTCCCAACAAACCATAACCAGCAAGCAGGCCGCCAACATTGGATTTCTATTTCGCCCTCAATCGTGCCAACCCGAGTCAGTCGGCATTTGTCACACAATTTGTAAACGGGTAACCCGAGATAGCTGATGCTACTTGACCAACTTCCAGCAACCCGCAGCAATTGGTCTCACCGTTGGATTTAATTGGCTCGACCAGCCAGGATTACCGAGTCGGTAACGGCACTTGTTCCGTGTTGGTCCTCCTCGCCGTCCAAGCAAAATACTCCATTCCTTCCAGCTCCTCGCGGCTTCGCAAGCACGTATGATGTCAAGATGTTTTGCTGTTTCCGGTAGCAGCTCTTCAAACACCTGTTATGGCTCGACATGAAGAGCTGTTTGGCACCTTTGTGCTCTCACTTTTTCGAGACTGTAGGAGGTAGCACCAGTCAGAACTCACTTCAGCTGGGCGCAAGCTGAGCTGAGTGTGCGGTATGTGACACAAAACCGGGAGGCATCTTGCATTGCGCCGTGGATGATGCTATATACACAGCTACCTACCCATGTCTCTCGTCCGATTTTCTTTGAAAAATAATCAAAGAAAAGGATCATTATCGAGCAACACATTACCGAAGCAAAACAAAGGCCGCACGAGAAAAAGATGATTACAGAAATACCTAGAGGCCTGAGAGCACGTCACGTAAAAGGCGGGGACGGAACCGAAGGGAGAAAAGGCTTGCACTACCTAATCTCTACCTCTGGGCACTTTTAGAGTAGATCCGCTTGCGTAGGGCAAAGACGCCACTAAGCGGCTTCAGAGGAGTGCTCCGCCGAGCACTTGTTACATACCGGGGGACACCTTCAGCCCGGGCAGCGGGGACTTTTAAACTGGCAGGCTGTTCCGCTACCGTACTTACCTCTCCTCTACCTAAAGGTACCTTGGGTAACTTCCGTCTCCTCATCCCCGGCCGTCATGCCCGTTGGATTGGCTGCACGGCATGCCCGTGCTTGTCAGAGCTCTGGGCTGTGCACCGGCACAGGGGCACCGCTCGACCACGCTGCCATGGACTTCCTTAGTTCAATCTTTGTCAAGTACCTACCTAGGTAGAGGTAGATATCGAATACTTGTGCGTTTAGGGTGCTTTCTAAACCCACGTTCGAGGTCATCGTCATCAAATGCCCTCTGTATCCCAAGCACTACTCATGGAAAAGTAAACTCATATATTCAGGATTTGCAGCTCGAAAGACAAACCCCGAAACTGGCGAAACGGGCCGTTCAGAAACAAGAGTTCAACACCAAACCAATCCAAGACCCATGTCCAGCAATCTTAGCGTCGTTTCAGATGCAAGGAACATTGGCGTGGCTCAAATGTTTCCACTGAACTCGTCAACGGCATTGCTGACTGGACAGAGGCGCATGGGGCGTTGCATGGACCTGGGGTCCTTGGTGGATCATCCGCAATGTCCGCGGGGTGTGGTGAGGAGTTTTCCGTTTTCTGTTCTGGGGAGAACGGCCGGCGGATGAGTGGTGATGAATTGAATCGCATCTTCTGGATACGGCACGAGTGTTTGAAACATGCGGCAGTGCAATGCATGAACACGAAATCCATCAGTCCTGAGGTGATTCCAGACATCAATACGCAATCATGACAACCTCTCCCAACAAATGCATAACGACGCTAGGGTCAGATTAAAATTTCGATCTAGGGTATGGTCCCTTTCTGGGCGGGGGCTAGCTCGGTCTGATGGAGATGGAGGATGACGGACAGATACCTTGATGGTGAAGGGTCTAGCAGGCCCGGCCGGGATGGAGTATGTAACCGCGAAAAGCGACAGAGGCCTCAGACAACCCTCCGACGAGCACGCGGTTGCTGCAACGGAGCTGTCAACCTAAATTCAGATAGTCCGTCAACGTGAGCCTCCATCACCTGTGAATCAGTTTGATTGTTTTTGATTTGCTCGAGCAGTTGTTATCGCCCTGTGTCCTGCTTCGTCTTGTCGACATTCGCATCTTTCGTCCACCAATCAAAGTATAAGTTGGAAAGAAGAAAAAGAAAAAAAAGGGGGGGAGGGGGTTGTTCGTCGGCGGCACTTTGGAGGTAGCACAGGTACACTACTAGTAGCTGAAGCGACCTTCCGTTTTCCCATTGGTGGGTTACAGGGAGCAATGACCAGTCGGCCAACAAGAAACCGTAAATAAAGTTTGTTGACCCACCGAAGCAGGCACGGGCATGGTTCCTGGATGGACACTTTCCATGTCGCTGGATGTGCCTTTTTGCCGGTACATACATATCGAGACTGCATCTTCGAAAAAAAAAAAAAAAAAGAGAGACGAACGAATCGTCCAAAATAGCCGATCACTGCGACGCCCGTCGTGGTAACGCATCCGCCAGTGGTGTAGTGTGGAGGTATCATCATGCAGGAACGCCATGTGTATCTCATGTAGAAGTGACATGGTCAACCGTGCTCGTGAACGGCTCATACCCGAGTAGGCGATACTTCCACAAACTATGTACTAACTCATCATCTCTGGGGGCCAGGTCCAGGTAACTTGACGTTACACTAGACGGCGTCTGGCCCCCGCAGTTTGTTCTTTTCCTGGCCTTTCTCCCCGTCTCGCCAGTTCTGGTTGCAATCCTTTTGGAAAGACGTCTGTCCGCTCCTTGCTTTCCTCCCCTTCCCCTTCCCCTTCCCCTTCTCTCCACGCAACTTCCTTCCTTTGAACTTGTGTCCCCATCACGCTCCTTCGTTGACGGGATATCCTTCGAGAGTGAGAGCCTCATCTTAGATCAGGTGCCCCTGTCTGGACTCGAGAAGCGGATTTCATCCCACCACATTCATTTCCCTCATTTGGCTATGCACCATCACTCCAGTCCTTCTTTTCCAACAGCAGCCTGTTTAGGAAGACACTCCTTGCTTACAACAGTACATCGGACCGCACTACGTGCCACTGACAAGACGGACGAGTTGGACGCATAAAGAACTCGAGTTTCCAAACGACACGGAATATCTCCACAAAGACGATAAAGGGCTGGATCCACGACGCATCCCAGGCTGTACAGAACAATACACTCTACCTAGCAGCATTTTGCATTTCTTTCGCAAATCCCGATCTTCCTTGTGATTGCTTGACATCAAATCAGAGGTCGCGGACACCAGATTTGGAACCTTCCGTCTCATATTCACCTATTTCTGCACTCTCGATCAGGCATCGTTGTATCCGGCTTCACTTTTCGATCACCGGTACCCTTCACGCGGTTCCAGGCAGTCATCTGAGCGTGAACAGAGACCGACACCCCAGAGAGGCAAACGTCACACCTTTCGCCCACCACCTGTCGGATAAGCTACCCTGGAGTTCTTCCTTCACTGTTAACAACCTAATCTTTTTTTGGTTTGACCTTACCGTCCGTTTTCCACGAAGACCTCCCCAACGTCCGAGATACATCACCCAAGATCTCGCCCTCCCCTCGGGAACTTGCTACTGCAGAGATTCTGTAAAGGACTCGATATTCACCCGCATCTCAGCACCACCTCTTACGTTTTCAAGTCTGTAATTTCAACCAGTATTCGACATGTCTTCGTCCATCTCACGGGCATTCACGACCCGGCGGATCAGGCAGTTTTCGCAGTCGTCGGAGCCCGACCACCCGATCCAGCCACGGAGCAACCTCCAGAAAGTGTCGATGACTTCCTTGCGCCACAAGATTTCGGCCCCTGTCAAGCTCGTACACACCACCAACGTGTTGGCATACAATGCGCCGGATCTTCACCCCCAGTCTGCCACTTCAACCAAATCGTCATTCCTGAAATCCGACGATGACTTGTCCGACAGCGCGCATACTCGCACTTCATCTCCCCCCACCAGCCCCGATATCGACGAGGCCCCCGATCGGGGCCTGTCTCTAGAGCCGAACCACCTTTCCTGCTACTTCACTGCCGACAAGTTGACGACATCTCCCGTTACCACTCACCAGCCGTCACCGCTGGCTGAGGCTCCTCTCGTTCCCACGCGCGCGCCTTCCCACACCAAGAAGTCCTACGATTCTCGAGTACGTGAACAGTCAGTCGCCGGACGTAGCTCAGCACAATCGCAACGCACTATTTCGACAAAGGCCAGCTTCAACTTCTCTCAACCGCGGTCAAGGAGCACCTCTGTATCATCAGTCAGCACCCCCTCGTCTCCTTCGTCCTACCCAAAGAAGAGGCCGCAAGTCTCGGTCCCTCCCTCGGTCAGCCACTCGATTCCCTCTGCTACAGCTTCCCCTGCTTCTCCGCCGAGGCAAAGACACGAAACCGAGTCACCAGCTCGCAGTCACAGGACAGAGTTCTCGCATTCTCACCACCCCTTCGGGCAGGAATTGGCCCAGGTAACGGAGATCGCTGAGGAGTACGGTGTGAAGGAGAAGCTGAACGAGTTTGCTGCGGAGGAACAGGAGATGGCGGCCACGGGACTGTGCAAGTTCATCGCCGAGGATTACCTAAAGGAGATTCGGGGATTCTTTGTTACTTTCTACGGCGTCGAGCCTGTTGAGCCTAGTACTCCGGCTGCGACCCCGGCTAGTGCGTGGATTTGATGTGCCTATTGAAGCACGTCGTTCGATTTCAGCTTGCGATTTTACGACTGTCAAAGCTACTTGGTATAGGGCAGCCTTCCACTGGACATGTACGATTCTGGGGGTGTATCACGAGGTCGACCTGAACCAGAAAAGAGGTGTCGAACAACGATGGACGTCCCCACCTATTGCCTGGGTCGGGTCTCGGATCAGCCTCATATACCTTCGAACAGCGTCCCTTGAGCCTGGAATACGAGGGATTGTTCATCAAACTTCTTGTTACTCTTTCACCAACCGTTACCCACAAGGGCTTCTGAAGGCGACGATGGATGTATGCATGGAAAACGGCGAAATGGCCATGGGAAGGGAAGATGCTATGTTATGCTATTATTCCCTTCTCTCTTTTTTTTTTTTTTTTTTGTTGTATTCTTTTCCTTTGTTGTACATCATGTTGGGGGATGGGTTGGCGGTTCGGTGGTTCAGTTTGGTTTGATGTTTGATACCTCTTTGCTCGTGCGCCATACAGTTGATCTTGAGGCGTGGGGAATGTTCTATTCTTTTTTTGTTTTTTTCTTCTTCTTTTCCAATCCTTGTTATCTTGGTTACCGAACCAATGTCACACTATACTATGTATAGGTGTAACGTGTGGAATCGAAAGCACGGGAGATACACACGCATATACTGCACTCTAATTCACAGGCCGTTACCTACTGCTCTTTGCGTCAAATTGTACTTCAGATGCTAATAGTAAACTCTTATGCATAACAATAGTCCTGGTCTGAGTCGATTAAGCGGCAACTGTTTCAGAGGTACTAGCCCCAGATAGCCATATGTAGCCAGTCCGGCGACGGCCATGTAAGCTTCCAAAGCCTCCGGAGCGGAAGAGGTCCACATAACGCCGGAGGGCGGGTCCGGGCCCGAAATAACAGGATTTGCGTCATCATTGTCTGCACGGGACCCGTTCATGCATGCCGATCTCGTGGTGGTGCCCGTTAGTGGCCACGTTTCTTGACTATTCGTCTATGCATAGTACACTATATCTGCTACGTATCTTATATCTTGACCGATGAGGTTGAGAGTTCTCAGTCTAGAGACTGCAATGATAGTTTGATATGGTTTGTGAAGAGTCGAGGTCAACGGTTCGACGTATCATTTAACTCAGGAGTAGTGTATCGCAGTTGTTGAAAAGAAAGTTGCATGTGGATGCGCGCTTTTGTGGGGGGTTAGGGTTATATATGTCTAGCTCCGCCTTGGCGTTCACTGTGTACTGTGTACACTATACTACATACAGCACCTTCGCCACTTTCAATGGAATTGACCAGGAAGTTCTATCTCCATCCAACATCACGACGTCGTGCAAACCTTTAGATCGGCCTTCGCGCCTCTCTCTTGCAAATGACAGCGGAACCACGAAACATTAGCAATAACACCATGGAAGCCTCAGCGCCTACGTCCGAATTGACCACCGTGCCAACACCAGAACCTGCCGCCGCCGTTGCACCTCCAGTTTTCTTTCGTGCCGGCAAGAAGAAGAGAGCCTTTCGTCAGCGAGCCGAGGAAACGAGCATAGAGCCAACAGCACAGACAGAATCAGCAACGACTATCAATATTGGCAACGATGCGACGCCAACAGGCCAGGCTGCAGCTTCAACAACCGAGCCAGCAGCTTCTGCGACAGTAGCGACAGCGACAACAACAACAACAACAACAACAGCAGCAGCAGGAAAACGCGATGGTGGAAATGACAAAGAAGAAGGCGGTCTCTCTGTCGCGGAGGTGCTACGGCTGCGAAACGCGAAGAAACACAGACTAGGCGGCGTCGCCTTCCGAGCTGGTGACGAGTTCAGCCCGACAGTGCAGAATGCTGAGCAAGCAATAGTCCTGCACGACGGCGTCGGAGGCGGAAGCGGAGGAGGCCAAGTGCAGGAAGCTGCTATTCTTGGCGGAGTAGCCAAGCGCTTTGCGCCACAGACTGGTATGGTCGGCGAGCTGGTCAACAGGCACATGTGAGTACGACCATTATGAGGCTTGGGTGGGTTGGGGGGACTAGGTTTGTTTCTAAAGGCAGCGGCTGATCAAGCAAGGGAGGAATACATAGAATCCGAGCTGGCTAGACGAAAGCGGCTCGCCGCGGAATACCGGGCACAGCAAGAAGGAGGAGGACAGAACGGCAGCAGTAATGCGATGGCGACAACAACAACGAGTGGTATGACGAATCTCCTCCAGGCCGATCCGACGCTGAGCGTGGGCGGCGGAAAGGTCGAGTCTCAGCGAGCTCTCCATGGCAAGCTTATGGAGATTGATCTGGGCGAGGAAGCGCGCGCTCGCAACATTGCGGAGACGGAGCGCGCGAGACGCCGACTCGAAGGCCAGATCCTGGAGGAGGAAGAGGACGCGGATGGGCGTCGCAAGAAGGTGCGCCTTGGCCCTGACGGGAAGCCGTGGCGGTCGAGGAATCGCAGGGATAGCGACGCCCTGAAGCGAGATCAGCAAGTGGAGGAGTTCTTACGAGAGAACAGATGTAAGTTTCACTTTATATCCTTCCTGTTCTATTTGACAAACGCTTTTTTTTTTTTTTTATTTTTTTTTTTATTTTTTTTTTTTTTTTTTTTTTTTTTTTTTTTTTTTGTTTTCTTCAAAAACGCTAACCATGGTGTGTGCTTTAGTGGACGTTTACGACGTGCCCTCCGACCAGCCCGAGTACGCCGCGGGCCTAGAGGACGACGAGATGGCCGCCGACGACCGCATTGCCGAAGAGTTCCGACGCGACTTTATGGACGCCATGTCGCAGCGACACCGGCGCAGGAGACCGGCTGTCAACGCCACCGCCAGGCCTTCGGCCAGGAACCAGGACGCCGAGATCCTCAGGGGTCCCAAGCTGGGCGGTAGCCGCAATGCCAGAGCGGCTATGCGAGAGAAGTTACTCAGGGAGCAGGAGCAGCAGAAGAGGCGCTGATCATTTTCTTCACGAGTGGTATCGCGAATGTCCTCAACGAGTTTGAAAGGTGATGAAATTATCTATTTACCATTCATTACCTGAGAGACATGGGGCTTGAATAGGATGAATAGCCGGAGAGCACTGCCGAGAAAGAGCGTGTTATGGCACTCGGTGTATTTGTAACTTTAGGGTCCTTCAGGTATGCTTTGTCGATCGTGAAAAGCATCGGCAGCGATTATAAGCAGAAGCAACGTCAGCACCAGCGCCCAGCGCTTGGAGGTTCGGTTGAATAGCTCGTTTTTGATGGTTTCACACTTGCGGCATCTCAGTTATCGTTCTGCAGGAGTTGACTTACTCGATGACTGCACCTTACATAGATTGACGTGATGTGTAGCAAGACGGCGGCGGCGACCTGATGGACGTTTGGCTGAACAATGATCCAGTCACGTCTTTTCCGTAACGCAATTACCAGCTCGGCGACTGGGATCTTTTTTTCTTTTTTCTTTTTCTTTTCTTTTTTCCCCCTCTTTTTAGAGAAGGGAGCGGCGGGAAAAGCGCATGTATCTCGGCCACGAATTTCACGCATTCCACGTGTTGGTTTATTGAAGCTAAAAAATAAAAAACAACGGTATTACTTAGTCATCTATAGGAATGATGACAAGTGGTGATGGTGCACCACACTCACACAGTCCATGGAATGAAATGAATGGGAAACAGCAAATCAAACCCTACCTCCATACCCAAACACAAAATCCAGCCGACGACCAGTCAGCCGCACCTTTGACACAGTTGCAGGAGTTGGTAGTGCTTACAACAAGCTGCTTTCACGGTGCTTCACACCATTCATCTTGCACTGGCTTCAGAAGCTGTCACGCACCCGTCTCACCACAGTGTAAATTGTGATTGATCTTCAGAGCTGTGTTCCCGTCTGCCTGGTCTAGTGTACGGCGTGTCAATCTGTGCTGCTTCGTGAGGTGTAGGTTGATGAAGCTCGAAACTGGTCTTTTCACTTCTGCTCTGCCCTCGTTTTCTTTCTTCCCGTGTATCTGACAGTAGCTCGAATGATATGATATACATTAGTCTGTCAATCTGTCTGTCTGCTGTAGAAAGTAAAGTAGTGTAGTAAGTATTAAGAAGTAGACACGCAGTCTTTAGTCTATTGGGTAGTCCGGCTGTGGCACCAGAACATGAACATGCCGTCGAATGGAATCGGACAGCGAATCGCTTTCGCTCTTGGCGCCAGTCCTGCTGCTGCGTCTACTGTGACGGTTGAGGTTAAGGTTGCAACTTGCGAGTTCCCGCTTTGCGAATGGAGGGGCACAGCCGAACTGAACGGCGGGAAAAGATACTAAATCGGGTGTTGGGTGACCATTGTCCGGTGTCTGTTGATGCGCTGGAGAGGCGGGGACGGACTGAACCCCTGATTGAGGAATGTAGGTGGTGTTGTTACTCTTTTGACTTCTTTTTGGCTTTCTATGGGTGATATGCACGGGGGTGACACGACACAGATAAAGTTTGTCTGTTCCTCTTCCCTCCTCTCTGCTGTGTCGGCTGCCACGAACCGAGAGGGTAGCCGGCCTTTGTGCGAGACTACTGGAGGTGGTTCTGTCAGACAGGACATGTAAGGGTCGGCTATCTTCTTAAAACCAAGAACCATTCACGTAGACCGTTGATACAGCATCTTACAATGCATTTCACCCCCCTTGAGTATACATAAACAATATTCAGCCCACCAAGGCTTAAGTCGCAGTGAATTCCCAATCAAGCTAAGTCCTGGGGAGGGGATGTTGTAGATCACAGGAAACAGCGTTTCATGGTTATGGATATGTGAGTGACACACTGCCTACCATTTGATTTTTTTTTTTTTATAAGATAGTGAAGAGAAAGACACGAAAGAATGCCCGAGGGAGAAAAAAAATAAAAAAAATGAGAACATAGTGCTTGCGGGGGCAATCTAATTGTTGCTGCGCCCACACGGTAAAGAAAGGAGCAAATGAAGAAAGGGGGGGAAAAGGCATCCTGGCAAGGCCAAAGGTCATCGTCTGTCTGGTGGCACACGTATTCCACTCATCGCAAAGAGTTGTGATGCAGTGTACCGGGAATCGAAACCTCCTCTCAGAAGCAGGCTAAAACAAACATGGATGGCAAGTGGCACAAGGAGATAAGAGCGAGCTGAACGGGTAGCTCGCTGGTTTAAAGTGACCGAGGAAGAGAAGACAAGACAGAGGAGATGAAAGATTACCTTTGAAATCTTCTCGTATCCAGAACAGACTGACTGGCCTTGGGTGAACCGATCTGACACTTGTTGGTTCCATTGATTCAGCTGAGCGGCCTTCCATCCTACCCTTTTTACCATTCTGTTTTCTCCTTTCCCCCTTCCCTTGCGAGCGTCAGAGTGTGCTTGACATACAACCCAAGCCACTGCACCAGCAGGCTACATAAGCAACAACCTAGCTCAGCCCGACCTTGGCCCCCCCCCCCCCTCCGGCCCGTTTGTGGCCTGGCTTGGTGTTTCTTCTTGCTTAGGAGTTCCCTCTCTCCTATCCTATCTGATCCTTTCCTTTGCTCCTTGCCCTCTGCCTGCCCCACTCATCATTTGTCTGCGGATGGGGGTATTGTGCGTCTAATCCATCCAATCTTCCATACGGGTAGTTGCTCCTATTCCGAGTTGGTATTGGTGCTTACTTCCGAGCCTCGTTCGCTCTGTTACTCCACAGACCCCGGCCGTCTTACCTACACACGCTTCGCATTTCTTCGTGCGCGGTTCCATTTGGGTTGTCCATTTTCTTACACCTTTGTTCATCTGGCACACTCTTAGCTGCTGGAGGTTCCCTTACCGGTGTCAGCACATCTGCTCTGGATTCGAACCGGCACCAACGAAAACGAAGCCGATCATAAAGGGCGATGCGTATATCTAGAACTAGAAGGCATCTTACTTGAGGAAGTGAGAATCTCCACGACACATTTCGGAAGTCGACGGCCGGATACAGGGGGAGGCCTAGGAAAGCGGGAGTCGATTCATCATGCGAATAGCCACGCAAAGGAGCTGGCTGCTAGCCGGTCTGCCGTTGGCAGGTTGCGCAGCCTCACTAAATTCTCATACGGACATCGTTATGTTCAGCGACAGTGACGGATTTACCCAGGGGGCAAAAGAAATACAAGGCAAGCCGGCCGTAATCTGGGAGGCGACTACGTTCAGATGGACTATCACGAACACAAGCGGTACCACAGTCAACACTGTCAACCTTTACAGCAACACTACGATAACCGAGCCTGCCTCGCTTCAAACCCTTGCAAAAAACTCGCAGAAAATTGGGAGCTGGCCAGATCTAGCCTTAGGTATGGCGCCTCGGGGCGATGTCATCACCTTGCCAACATCCACGTCGTATCCCGTCAACCTCACCGGTAAGTCAACAGGAAGTGCATCACAAAATGTCTAAGAGCCTAACCTCTCTTTGCCGTGGCGTGACCTGATGACTGGAACATTCGTGCTAACTGAAGGCAACGAGCCAACAGTTGAGACATATGCTACAGGAGGCTCGGTGAGAGTTGACGATATCTGGACTATCCTCAACCTCAACAATACCTCAGCCCAGCCAGCCCCGCTGAAGCTGCTGTACTTTGATGTTGTCTGGAAGAACGGCGGCAAAACGGGCACGAGCTACAGCCGGCTCTTCGCAACAATCGGGAATACCATTGCGCCAGACCGTACCATACTTGAGGGTTATGGTTTAAATCCTTTGCTCAACAACACTGACCCGGTATTTCCGGAAGAATATCCGATCAGGGACGACTCCGATGGGGGCGGCCAGTCAGCTGGAGTCAGAAAACCAACCGAATCATCTTCTCCCATTCCAGGGGCAACCTTGGCCACCCCGACCAACGACGGCGGCCTAATCAGCAGCGGCACCGGAGATCCCTCCAACCTCAAGAGCAAGAAAGGTATTTCCATTAGCGCCATCGTTGGAATCGCCATAGCCTGCGGCCTCCTCGGCCTCGCTCTCATCAGCGGCATAGTCTTTTTCTGCCTCCGGCGGCGCCACAAGCAAAACGCCCTTCGAGACGGCACCAGTCGCGGCGTGCCTTACGGGGGCTTCGCCAGCGGCGGCGGTCGGAACGGCGGTGACGAGCTCATAGCCGAGAAGGAAGCCAACACGGGCGTCATCCACGACGTGACGAGCGCGCCTCACTCGCCTTACTCTGACGACCTCGTGGGAATGGGTAACGCCGGTGCCAACAGGAATAGCGGTAGTGTTGTTATTCCTAACATTGATTCTGGCGTTTCTCCTCAGGTGGTTCTTCCTGGAGTAGATGGGAGACTAGAAGGAGATGGAGACAGCCCGGTTTCGAACGCCCCGTCCTACCACATGATGCAGCAGCAGCAGCAGACACCGCACGATCATCAGTCTGGAAGGTCTTTTACCATGTACTCTGATCATCAGTCCGGAGGGGGGGAAGGAGGAGGGTCGCCTACCACTCTGCACAGCGGCGGTGGCGGCGCACCATCGTTCACACACGGGGGAGCAGGCACTGATAGCAACCGGGGTAGTCTGATCAGCCAGCAGCAGCAACAGGGCAGGAGCTTGTCAACGCCGTATGCTCATTTGGTCGAGGATGGCATGACAGAGGAGGAAATCAGGAGGTTGGAGGAGGAGGAGCGACAGCTTGATGTGGCCATTGAACAGCACACGGGAGGGCAGAGGGGCTCCAGGCACCTATGACGAATGCTTTGGAAAGTGAAGATAACCGAGCATAGCAGTTAAGGAAGAGGGTGATGATATGGATATTTCCTTTTTCATTGTTTATCTTTGGGAAATTGCGTATGTCCGTATCAGTAGGGGGCGATGCTACAATATCTGATGATTATGAAAAAAAAAAAATCCTTGATCAGTAACTCTATTTCTATTTTCTGTTTTCTTCTGCGAACAGTTATGGAGCGATTCAGAGAATGTGAATGCAACGAGGAAAACGGAGTGAACGTACCGAATGGTGGTCTCAGAGCCATGGCCGATTTTTCATGTTCGAAGGATCTGTATGAAACAAGAAAATCATGGACAGTACTTGTGCCGGACACAACATAACGGACCCTGAGGTTCACACATCTTGTCTTGCTCACATACTATTTTTGTTGGTAATGAATCTAGAAGGTAACCATCGGCAATTTGTCGTGCAAGAGTTCCATTTGCTGTCACCAATTTCGAGCCCGACCCGTAAAGTACATCATGAAAACCTGAGAATACTAAGATGGCCATCAAGTATCCTCGAGGCTGAATTCTCTATCGATATCTGACGAGGACAGTCCCTTCGGATACTAATCCAAAGCCACAACTTTTTCCCTGACCTCGGGGAATCTTGTCCTGCTTGCTCTCTACCTCGAGAAGAACCTGCCAACCATGTTGCTCGCAATGTTACCAGCAATGTTGCCCGAGCTGAACGCGGTTCCAGCAATGTTAGAAGCCTGGCTGAACTTGTCGCACCTCGAAAAGGCAAGCGAGTTGGTAATGGTAAGAACCAACGCAATAGCTATACAACAGGCCCATTAACCTCCGATTAACATATAATGCCTTTTTTTGATAACACAAAAACCACGCAGCACAACAAGCAAGCAAGCCAAGGGAGCTGGCAAGCGCTAGTACGACGGATAGAGGGGAAAGGGGCACATACCAACAAGAGGCAACCAAATAAACTTCAAACTGAACAAGGCCACAATAGCCAGCACAACCCACAGCAGCGGTTGCGCATAGATCGCCAGCCAAAAGAAGCGGCTGTCGGTCGCGTTGATGATCTTGGTCCCCGGCTCGCTGCTTTCAAACACCCAGTGCGAGTCGCCCGAGTTAGGATCGACCTCGTTCCACCAACGCAGGCCCACGAGTCGGCGGCCAGCAATGTTCTTGAGGTAGTAAAAGTCGCCGGCGAGGAGGAGAATGGTTATGATGAAGATCATGACACTGCCGGTCGGTTGGGGGGGTGGTTAGCAATCTAATCCCTTGATTTCTTCTGATGAATGAAAGCTGTGGAAGGCTGGAAGGTGTGGAAGGCTGGGAACACTCTCGGGTTCGCGTTCGCTTGCGACTGTATAGGCGAGCAAGTGGGCAAGTCGAGCATCTGATATGGTGTGGTTTAAAGGGGCAGACGGGGTCGCCTTACAGGTTGTCGGTAAATAAGAGGCCAAAAAGGTAGACAAGGAGACTGGCTGTAGTTCGCGATCGAGTTTTAGCAAGCGTGTCTTGGTAGCAGATGTCGGGTGCTCCATCCTCCTCCGTCTTCTCTTCGTGACCTTCTACCCATCATCCTGCCGGAATGCATTCTCCCCCCCCCCATCATGGCCGTAATGGGCTACATCCAATCCTCGAGACACTGACAAAGGGAGCTAGGAAGAGGGACTGCGAGCACCTACATGATCGAAAAGCGAGGAATGTCAGGAGCGTAATAGGATGCGAGCTCAAGCGCCAGCTCAAAGAGCCGGGCGTCGGTGTTGCTTCCATCATCAGGATCAGAAGGTGACCTGTTACCGGGTTCGAAGGTACTTTGTCACAATGGTGTCGTCGTGAAGTTGGAGAGAGGTGAAGCCAAGCCGTTTGCACGATGCGCAACTGCGCAGGTCAGAACACCTAAGCTCCGCGCTGACAGACCGTCTCGAACACAAGCTAGGGTGTATTAACGGTGGGGAGGACTACAAAGTATTGAAATACCCAGTTTTTGCGGGCAATTGGCAGGACCTGGGAGGTACCTTTTCCCCACATATCTCAGCATTGCTGTTAATGCACTATCGCTACCTACAACCACGTTTCCCCTTGGGAATGACACCGTGCTGGTCTTCCGTACAAAAGGCCTCCCTACGAACTGAAATAACCAGGCTTTACTTCGATATGGAACTTAATGTCTTTTTGCGTCAAAGGAATCCTCGTGCTTCCCGGTTTCTTATCCTATTGTTTGTTACAAAATGAGGTTCTCCGGGGACAAAGTTAAAATAGTTCTTAGATACCGGTGCGATGCTGGATCCTTAGTTCAAATAATGCCCGGTGTATATTGAAGCGTGCTTTAGATCCACATTATATAAACAAATCAAATAATACCAAGAAATGCCAAGACGGGAGCACGGGAAGGCTCTTAGCAATTCCAATTCACACTCAGGGGCACAACACCAACCAAAACATCACCAAATCTAACTCCTTCCGCGAATCTTTCTATTATTTTACCTATAAACCTAATTAAATTCAGTAAATATATTTAAAACGCTCCAATTAAACAATATAGTTTACTTCCAACTACCTTACTATTACCAGCCCTACTGGAAGTACTATAGGGACGCCTGTAGTATAACGGTTAAAGGGACACCTACAATTACTATTAGTATAAGTTTAGAGAGTTTACGCGTTTAATTCCCTACTTGTATTTTATTTCTTTTTTAAATATTTAAATATATACTATTAACGTCTCTCAAATCCTTCTTATTTTTAAATTTTATTTATTATAAATTTCTAATATTAATTGTGTATAGGCTACTCTAGGGAATAAGAGATATAAAACCGCCGTAAAACGTACTATTTCTCGGTACTATTAATAATTACTTTAAAAAAGGGTATACTATAAGGTATTCGATTAGGGTGCGTAGAATAAATTGAATTAAATTCCTTTCTTTTTTTTTTTTTTTTTAATTGGTATTAAGAATTAATTATCTAAATTTTAAATTAGAATAATTTAAATTGTAATTAATAATAAGGATAACGTACTATTTTAAATGGATAGGAAAATAAAGGTTAGGGGTAATTATAATCTTCTTCTTCTTATATAGAAGATTATTTTTAATTAGTAATACTATTTTAGTATTAATTTAACTTCTAATAATAATATATTAATGTTTAATAACGAGTAAATTATAATGCTCTTCTTCTTCTTTTAATATATTATTAAAGTACTCCTCAAGTTCGAAATTATTATTTTCGAAGATAATTAATATAGTAGTGCTAGGGGTTAGTAGTTGGTAGTTAATAAAAGTAATAAAGAATTGAATATAAGAAAAAGAAAAAGAAAAAAAGAAAAAAGGAGAGGGAAAGGGAGAAAAAGAAAAAGAAATATAGGATATAAAATAAAATAGAAAGAATAATTATAAATGTTATTAATAGAAAATACGGTTAGAAATATTAATTCTTATTATAATTATATATATATTAAAGCCGGTATACCGGAAATAATAATACCGGGGGCCTAGGGTTTTAATATTTAAATTAGGATTAGAAATTTCTCTAATAATCTCCTTACCTTATTAATAATCTGTATAATAAAAGTATAATTTAAGGATATCCGTAGAATGCTTAAATCGAAAGGTTTATTAAATATAAGGCCTTATAAAGTTTTAACCCGAAAGTAAGTTATATATATAAGCCCGGCTTAAAAATCCTTTTTAGAAATATTTAATATAATTATATTGAATATAGAGCCCTATAATTTATACACTATAATAATATATATTATTATTAAAGGGAATTATATCCTTTTATATTAGGTATTCCTATAAGAAATAAAATCTTATATAATTTAGAAAATAGGGATTATATTATAGAATCTTTTTTAATTTTTTTAATTAAGAAAATAGTAAGGACTGGTATACTAATTAAATTTAACTAATATAATAAAAGAATTTTTATAAAGATACTATTTATTAGGTATATTTTAGTTAGGAAAAGTTCTATTCCAAATAATATCGAAGATAGTACTTAATATACTATTAATTAAGTTAACTTTAGTTTAGAGATTTTTAATAAGTATTACTCGGCTTCTTATTATTAAAGGGAAATTGAATTATAAATTATTAATTTTAATAAAGTCTACGTCTTTAGTACCAACTCCCTTATAATTAATAGGAAATATAAGGCATAGTTAATATAAGGCTTCTATATACTCAATATTATATATAGCTATATTACTATGTTTTAGGTAGATTCGAAGAGTATATTAGAATTAAATAACCTCCTCTTAAAATAATCGCACTTATATACAAATATATAAGAATTCCCAATATTAATAAATAGGTTAATTATTACGTAGTCCTTCGAGTATATCCCTAAATAGGGTTTAATTATTATTCTATTATTGTATAATCTATTATAATTTAATAATTTTATTAAAAGCGTAGTAATAATTATAATTACCGGCTTTAATTACTAGCAAGACTACCTAATTATAAAAAAGGGATTTCTATATTACTAGTATTAATTAGTAGAAATTATTAAGTAGTAGGACGCTTCTACTACTAAAAAGTATATTCTAATATTCGGGAAAAGTTTATTAAAGCTTTTAATTAATAAAATTAATAATTTGAAGCCTAAGTATAGATTTCTTGTTAATAATAAAGTATTGGTATAGCTGTAGTTTGGTCTAGAATTAAATAAAATTAATACCTTCTAAAGCTATAATAGCCACTTTAAAATTATTAAGGTTAATATTCTTAAGTATAATAGGAAATTTAAATAAAGAGTATAAAGTCTACCTATTAATATTATTAATTACTACCCTAGTAGGAATATTATGGATAATAAAATTACTCTTCCCTCGACTTACAACTATTTACTTTAATTTGAAAAATAAAAATTTAATAAAATATAATTTATTAATACCTCTATAGCTATCAATTTATAAAAATAGAGGTAGAATACGACGATGGCGTTTAATATTATTATTATAATTTAAAATAGATTAGTAATAAATAATAAATTTATTAAAAATAACCTTCTAAGTTGGATTAAAATTATTAATAGCTAAAGTAGTAATAATAGGCGTATTTACTATTAAATAAATATTATTGGCTTTTATATTATACTAATAATCCTATACTAATAGGAGTAAATTTTAATAATTTAAATAGTTATATTAATTGTATATAATATCTTAATCCCGGAATCTAAGCATCCCAAAATCCCTATTATCTTTAATTTATTAATAAGTAGGAAGTTCTTTAATTAATACCTACTACGGCTCTCGTTATCTCTCTTCTTCAATAGGAGGTTCGAATTTATTATTAGGTTCTCCATCTAGTAAATTACTGTAATAGTTATAAAAGTAATTATAATTACCTATATAAATTTCCGTATA